TTTTAATTACCTAATCTATGGATGTTGTCTTGATATTGATATACATCAGCATGTCTCGTATCTCGTTCTGGACTTTATTCTTGTACCTAAGTAACCATGCAGCACTTTTAATACAGTTAGAAAAAGAACTGAGTGAAAAAACGACAGAGCCGTCAAAATTTGTTCTGTTTTTCGAGGTTGAGTCTCATCATCAGAAAATATAAAACTAGGGGTAATAATAAAAATATTTATTTAAGTACAATATGATCAAAAATGTTGGCTTGGAAATGATGATCAATTTCCCATGTAATTTTAAATATAAAATGACAGCGATCTTTATTTCCAAGCCAACTCTAACGCCGTTTTTTTGTCGATCATATGGTACCTTCCGCCAGTAGATGATTTAGTAGATTCTTGATAACTGTCAGTGATACTTCTGACCGAAACGTTGTGTAAGCAAAATAAATAAAGACAATGGAAGTCCGAAACTCTTTTAGTTTTAATACTGAATCATTGTCTACCAGATTCAAAGTAAGGTACAGTACGTCTGTCCGTTCTGTAGCTACGGGGTATCCGTGAGAGGGGAAACGATATTCTCTCGATATTTTTCGTAAAAAATTAGAGGACGCGTCCCATCAATAAAAATTCGACAAATTTGCAAATTTTTAAAAATTTAGAATTTTTTGAAAAAAATTTTGGGAATTATTTTAGTTTTTAGTTAAAAATCATAATTTCTTGTGAATATGGTAGGGTTGCCAACTTTCAAAATAAAAAATAGAGCACGAGAGGGTAAAAAAGAGGCAGAGGTGAAACATTTTTTGAAACCTTGCCCAAATGTCTAGAATTGAGAGAGGGTGAGTGAGATCAAAAAGAGGACTGTCTCTGGAGTAGAGGACGGTTGGCAACCCTAGAATATGGAATATGGCAACATAGGTAGTGCACTAAATTTACAAGAAAGAAAACCCAGAAAAAAACCAGTGGTACTCAAAATTTAACCAAAAAATATATTTTTTTTTATTTTCAAAGTAATATAACTGGGTTATTTTGGATTTTTTTAAGAATCACCCTATATATATATATATATATATATATGAATATTAATATTGTTTCGCCGTATAAACAGTATGGTTTATGCAAGATTATAAAGTTAAAAATAACTAAAAAATTACGCCAAAAATAATTTTTTGTTTAAAAATACCTACATAGAAAAAAAAGAAATAGGTGATCAGTGAAATCGAATCATAATTCAATACCGAAGCATTTTAATAGTCTCCGGTGCATTGTAATTATAGAAAAGGCATCTCTAAAAATAAAAACGTTAAATTTTTTCGTTGACAGGCATTCTGCCTGGCCGCCTGGCTGGCTGTCTCCGACAAATAAGTTGTGGATCGAGGGAATTTCTCTTTCAGCTGTCGGCTCTATATCTTCCCAGCCAACACCCGCGCGTAGCTTTAAACGTCGTACTTCCTGTCCTTCGAAAAGAACGTTTCCCCGCTCTTTGATAGAAAAATTTAATTTACGCTAATGTAGATCTTAAGTAAGCGTCAATCGCGGTTTGATTTAGAGACTGTAATAGGGGAGCAGCATCAAAAGTCCTAGTAAATTTTCTTTGTTTATCCGGTTTATACTGAATGATATAGTTTTATAGCGACTGTAGTAGGAGTATAGTCTGTCCAATGACAAGATCCTTGACAGTGATAGATGTGTCTGCCATTTGAATTTCAAAGTAGTTTATTTTATTTTACAAAGAAATAAGTTGGTACAACTGGAAAGCATATAGCAGGGAATTAATATATTTAAAATTTAGCTGATAAGTGATTATTTCAAAATATTGTGAAAAAAACTGTATAAAAATGAAAAAATGTAATCGAGTTATTTTATTAAAAAAACGGTATGTGTAGGTTAGTTAGTTCACCACATACCAAAAAATATGAAAAAGAACTATTTCTTATTTTCAAACTTCAAGAAACTTACAGGACTTAACTTACAAGAATACCTAAATAAAACAAACTATTTTATTAATAATAACACTTACCAAATTTTATACCTTAAAGGTTGATTAATTAACTTTAATCTATTTTTTTTTAAATCAGTACCTTTCGACATTATTTTTCTGCAGTACTAAAATCCATTATTTACATATCGTGTGAATTATATGTATCGATCGATATTTTGCAGCTACTCCAGTAGTATAGGTTTAGTACGATCCTTGTACCATATACGAGATGCACTTATCTATGACGAGATGGTATACAAACCTTATTGATGGTAACTTTATTGGTGTGTAAGGCTTTCTGCCTGGGCTGCAAGTATTAAATATATAAACTGTGCTCTGGGGTCTACAGTTAATTTTCCCTCGATTTTTCCTCCACTTGACTTCAAAAGACACAAAACACACGTAATAACACGAATCAAAATGCATCATCTTCCAAAACGCAGATATTTGACATAAATTGACACAAAATTATAACCTATAATTCCCAAAAATCTAAAGGCGAGTTCATACGCATCGGCGTCCGTTTGCCGTTCATCGTTCCGTCAAACCAATAAAATTGAAATATGAACTGTCACTTTTGAAATAAACCAATAAAACTCGTTAAAAACAACAAGAGACGACGCATGACCCATCCATAGTTAAACCCATCCATAGTTAACTTAAAAAATATTAGAAACTTTTTTTAGTAAAATAAATAGATTGGTATGGGACGTCATCTGCTTTTCTTCTGTCATCATCTGTCGAAATCTTACCTGAGAAAAAAAACAGAGAAAATTGTTCTTCATTTTTAGAAAACGTTAAATAAGTCAAAAACCTTACATTTCAGTCATATACTTTCCTAACAAAACACACCTTTATTTTTCTCCTAGAATCCAAAAATCAATTAATATATAGAGTGTTTTATTACAAAAAACAAAACTTTGATGTGTAACTTTTTTTAGGGACAGCCTGTAGAACTCTCTATATTTTTAAAAAGTGCTCTGAATTAACCTACATATGCTCACAAAATTTCATTTCAATACAAACTGTCGTTCCCTTTGGAGCCTCCGCGTCATATGAGAGGCGTCACCCTGTACATACATACTGTATGATAAAAAAAAACGGCGTCAGCGATGGCTACGAAATAAAGGTCGCTGTCATTTTATATGTAAAGTTATATGGGGAACGGTCATCGATCGTTATTTCCAAGACGATCGACGACAAGAAATTTTGAAGAAAAATTTACTCACTAGTTGGAGGAAATGTAAAGATAAAAATAAAATTTGAATAGCCAAAAAGAAACATTCCACGAAACATTCCAGTCCCATAAAAGTAAATATGCGATAATATATGAAAAGTTCGTTTTAAAAATAGCCACTCCATCCAAAAACCAAAGTAAGTTGTAATGAACAAATTGAACAAATTGACACGATCACAGTATAATGACCATGTCCCAGTTTATTGTTTCTAACGCACTAACATCATTAAAATATGCTGATTACGATTTTTTTATGAGTTCGAATTATATGTATGTGTGTGTATATTGTTGATAAATGTTGACCTCAAATTATGTAACGGATCGTGACAGTCTTGCAAGAATTTTTATTATATAGGGCGAAGCGAGACAAATCATTAATAAGAAACATACAGGGGGAGGAACAAATATCTATACTTAAATTTGATAAAAATTCATTAACAAATTATTTTTGTAAAACTTTTAGACAATCAAATACCTGCCTATACAGTAGGTCCTCCGATTTTTTTGACAGTTACCTCCTTTGGTACTTCCACTCTTCAATTACAAAACCATTAATATATTAGATACTTAAAAGTGCCACCTAAAGTAAAGTATCTGAAAAAGCCTTTAATAGACCGGATACACCACCGAATACCTTCCCAAATTAATGACTTCCACCCTCGTTCTAGCACTGAGCCGGTCTTTTTTGCCACCCCTAAGTATTTACAGATACCTAAAGCCCTATTTACAAAACAAGCGCGGCTCTTCAAACATGTGCCGCCTATGGGATCGTGTCGTCGTAAATCACGCGTCAAATTGAGGATGACAACAGGGACGCAGAAACGCGGCCTAGGGTGAAAAAGGGGGAGGAGTCGGTCCCTTTCAACCCTACTTGGTACGATTTGCTGATTAAAAACTCATCTTTAGAAGTCTAAAAAAATTAGAGTAAAAATATCTAATAAGAAGCTGGTTCTTTAATATCTCTTTTGTTATGCTCTTCTGAGTCTTACTCTCCCGGCCAAAGTGCGGGCCGTCTGCGCATCACATCTGTACAGGGTATCCATATCGCATAGCGCATCACATCTGTACAGGGTATAGCCATCCCCATGTGTTTTTGGGGATTTCTCGTTTATGAGTAGAGATACAATGATGCCATTACTTTGCTACTTTTTTATGAAACTAAACTACGACCTATGAACCTAACCTAAACAAAACTAAACATAGTTTTGTCCAGATTTCTTAGTTCCTGATTTACAGAGCGAATTTGTGATGCGCAGTAGTGAACAAATGTTGAATACAGATATGATGCGCAGTAGTGAACGCAACGTCTACCGGCAGCCAGACGGTCCGCACTCTGTTCAGGAGAGCATAGCAAAAGATATATTAAAGAACTAGCTTTCTTAAAATTCTCTCTCCATAACGTTGCTTTCTTTAAACTATAATAAGTGTAAGAGTCAGATATTTTTCAATTAACATTTTAAACCCTAATTAAATAAGAATTCATTAAAAACCTAAGAACAGAATAAATTCATTCATTTATGCCGCCGTAAACGACCCTTAACGGTCACCAAGCAGCATAAATGAATGAATTTATTCTGTTCTTAGGTTTTTAATGAATTATTATTTAATTGGGGTTTAAAATGTTAATTGAAAAATATCTGACTCTTACAGTATTTAAAAACTGCGTAATTTTCTAACCAATGTCTTTAAATTCAACCAATAAAATTAATATCGTATCATCGTATCGTCGGACAACCGATGCATGAAAATCAAGCTTTCGTTTGTTAGTTGGCTAAAATCAATTTTGTATCAAATTTTCATGACAACTGTCATAACCTGTCGTCAATCAAATAATCATTTCAGATCTTGATGTTTGAATGTAAACGTTCTCTAATCTACATTATTTAAATACAAATAGCTCTGCAAATATTTTAAGGATAACTTTGAAGGTAAGATACTTTACCCTCTGTCACTAAAATCTAGAATTTCAGATTAATAACTATTTCTTATTTCTTTCAGTTTTGACCGTACTGAAATATGTTAAACACACATTCCGCTCATGTCGTTGCCGGTGCGCCCAAGGTGAGGATAAGTGGCCCCAAACGACTCGCCTATGGGGCCTTTATGGGCTTTTGTATGCTGAGCTTTCCATTTGCCACCGTCTTTTTCATCCCCGCCATGAGAGACAGAAATGGACCAGTCGAACGCCCTAACGTATGAATTGAATAGATCTTAATTTGTAATGTATTGTGTATAAAATAACCGTTCTTTAATATAATATTCATCATAGATTTATATTTTATTATTGCCTTTAGGTACTTAAAATCTTATAAATATTTTTTTTTCAAACGTCACAAATGCATTAATTTTTGCGACGTGGAAACTACAACAACTTTTGATTTAAATGGTACCCTCGGTACTTTTTTACCATATATGATATAAAATGACATTCTAAATAGAATGATATATTATATGTCAACCAAGTGGCAAGTCAACCAAGTCCAAATGTCAACTAAGTACCAAGTATGTGGTACCAAATTATTCGTAAAAAATGCTTTTTCCAAATATACTGAGCCAGCCTCGTACCATTTGAAAAATTTGAGTTATCATTAAAAATACGATTTGGGCATCTTTTAAGCGGCCATGAAAGGATACGAAAAAAAATTACACGATCAAATATATGTTTCCAAAGTTCTTTAATTACAAATTAATAGTTTTAACTCAGTCTTGGCACTCTAGATTGAAATTTAAAATGCTATTTTTATTTAATTGGAATCGTCTAAAATTGACGTATGGTATGTCATTCTATTCAGAATGTCGTTTTCTATCAAATAAAGTAAAAAAGTACTTAGGATACAATCTAAAAATACAAAGTTGTAGTCATTTCCGGTGAAACAGGAAGCGACCGAAGGTTATTGAATACGTCAATCAATCCCGATTTATGTCATATACTAACAAACCAAATTTCGTTGTATTATCTGAAAAAATAAAAAAGTGAGCTCCTTTTGAGAAACACCTGGTAGAATCGGCTGAAAATGAATACAGGTCTTAAAAATACACTATAACGAATAATCTATCAAAAGACCCCTGTAACCCTCCGCCTGCTAAATATTGATTCTTCAACGACAAAAGTTCTTAAACTGTTTACCGGTTAATTTATTTAATAAAATGCTTGCCCTCGAAATCCGCGCACTCGAAAAAACAGCGACTATCTAAACGCATCCTAGATCTATAGAGCAAACTGGTTGTCGCATTCTTCCCCGCACCTCAGTCCTCGGGACCGATGCGATGGGCTGTGTCGTCGTTTACGACCTGCTGCTACGAGTATATAGTGTGAATTATGTATGTTCGAGTAGCTTGGACGCGGCTTAAAGAATAGTTGAATTTCTGAATCTACAAAAAAAATCATTTTCATTTGTTGTTAATGTTAATTTAAATAAATAATTAAATTAGTAATTTATGAATAAAGCTTAATAATTTCTATAAAATGGTGTGGCTTTGAAGTTATAACTCACGCGTGTGTTATTATTTTTATTTTATATGCATGTATACATGTGAGTAATGTCTGTATAAGTAGTGGCTGTTGGATAAAGGTCATTTTAACGCTTAAAAGTAAAGCACTTACGCCTAAGCAACAAAAGTACGAAAATATATTATTAAACTGACATAAAGTGTCAAATTCAACGAGTGTAACCATAGTTTCTCGATATATTATTACAAGGTATTACTTTTAAATCTTTTTATATTATTTGCAACGTTTGAAATTGTTTAAAAAATTATTTGCGATGTTAGAAAAAAATATGTTCTCTTCGGAGTAAAAATTACTTCTTGTGACTTAAATCAAAAACGCTATTTTAATTTTTGTGTTAGTTTGTTAGTTGGCTAAAATCAATTTTGTCTCAAATTCTCATGACAACTGTCATAACTTTTCGTCAATCAAACAATCAGTTCAGATCGTGGTTCTTATTCAAGAACGTTCTGTAATTTACCTCTTTTAAACACAAATAATTCTGCAAATAATTTAAGGAAGTAGGAGGAACTTTGAAGGTAAGCTACTTTAACCCTGTCAGAGCAGAATTTCAGATATTAATAACTATTTCTTTCAGTTTTGGCTGTACTGAAATATGACGAACCCACATTCCGCTCATATCGTTGCCGCTGCGCCCAAGGTAAGAATAAGTGGCCCCAAAAGACTCGCCTATGCGGCCTTTATGGGCTTTTGTGTGCTGAGCTTTCCATTTGTCACTGTCTATTTCATCCCCGCCATGAGAGACAGAAATGGACCAATCGAACGCCCTAACGTATGAATTGAGTAGATTTTAATTTGAAATGTATTAAACTATGTATAAAATAACCCCTCTTTAATAAATATATACTTTATATATTTATATTGTATTATTTTTAAACTTTAAAAAAAATCATATAAAAATCATATAAATATATTTTTTCTACAAACGTCAAAAAATGACAAGGTTCGCGAATTGATAGCAATGTGCAATATATAATAATAATAATTTTTATGGATATGCCGATTTTAATGTTTGTAGAAAAAATGTTGTTTGCAACTCGTGCGCGAACTACTTTGGTGATCTCGACTAATTTTGCAAGTATCGATCACCAAAGTAGCACTTAGCGCACTAATAGATACAGAAATAACTATATTCAAACATCACAACAGTATTAACTTTTTGCGACGTGATTGACAATAAAAATGTAATTTTAACGCCTAGGCATAAAAGTAAAGCTCTTTTACGCCTAGACCAAAGGCCTAGGCATAAATAGTACAAAAATATATTATTAAACTGACTTTAAGTGTCTAATTCAACGAGTGTAACCATAGTTTCTGGATGTATCGTATGATCAAAAAAGAGCGTCCAGTTGACTTGGAAATGAACATTGCTATCATTCCCTATACAATTTTACATAAAAAATGCCAGCGATTTTCATTTGGCCATTACTGACGCCGTTTTTTTCGATCATAATGTATAATTACTACAATGTATTATTTTTAATATCATTTGCAACGTTTGAAATAGTTTGATTTGGAAATCATTTGTGGCGTTTGAAAAAAATAGCATGTTCTATTCGGAGTAAAAATGTACATTTTGCGAGTCACCTGTAACGTCAAACGTGCAGCCTAAAAAACAGTAAAAAAATAATAAAACAATACTATACTATTTTTTTTAACATTATTATTGGCCTCAAGACTCTGAAGTCACCAGTTTACGTTGTTTTATTTTAAATCAGTTGGTTTATTTTATATTAGAGGATATTAGTGTCATAGATTTGAACAAAGTTTATAAGCTTTTCCACTTGCGATGTGCTCTTAAAAATGAGATTTACACCCAACAACGATATGTTTGTAATACACGGATAGCTGTTTGTTGAAAATACCGAACGAGAGTTTACAAAACATAAAGATTTCGGATGACACTTTTCAAAATACGAAAGCGTACCAACTAAGTGGAGCCACTTGAGCATATTACAACTTACAACTCGGTTTGAACTTGCCATTATACAAGATTTTAGGGTGATATTATTTATGTATATCATAATATTTATTATTTAGAGTTAAGTCCAATCGTCCAACCAAACAATATAAAAACTGTTTGTTTTTGTTATTAAAAGTTTTTTTAAATAAATCGTACAGTATGATCACAGATTAGGTATCCTATAAGTATACAGATAAAAATCTTGTCCCTAATTCGTGGTACGAAAATTGTTTTTTATGACGATGTGCAAACGAGTAAAATTTCCTGTGCGCAAAAATAAACTCGCCTAAAATAACAATAAACAGCGTAATAGAGAGATATCGCTAAACCGAATAGCGTGCATGGACGTTAATAAGGCCAGGTGTTATTTCCTTTGCGTGAGGTGGTATTAACTCTGTTCATTTATAGCTATCGGATCGGAAAGAATTCTGTTCGCATCGCGTCCGCTATTTAAACTTAACCTAACTTCGAATTTAAAACTTTGAAATTGTTTTGTTTACTAGGTATTTTAAAACTAAAGGGCTAAAGTGCTTATTTCCAGTGCTTTATTGTCCAACGTCTGCCAATGGGTTTAGGCCGGGCAACAAGCAACAAATTCTCTTAGAAGGGCTAAGTCGTCATCTGCTGTAAACCTAAGCCTCTTTATAGGTTCTTTAATATTGGAAGAGGTGGAATCCATATTTTGGGCCATATTTATTTAATTAAAACTAATCCCAGCTACTTAAAAATTACCTAATAAAACTAAAGTAATAATTCAAAACAATTCAAACATAACCTAAAATAAAAGATCTCGCCGGCCGGCCCCGGTTGTCAAATACCCGCACATGCCCATTTAAGCAATTTTTAAACGTTTTTAGAAATAGCGCTTGGTGTAATTGATCCGCAAATTACGTCAGGCGGTAACGTTATTAACGGGTGTTGCGTTAAAAATTGACTCGCGCATATCGTAACCATGATAAGGTACGCGTAAATACTGCATGACGCTATTCGGTTTTCCGATATCTCTCTAATAACTATGCCGGTCAGGCGCTGTGCACAATTTTACAGGCCATAAGTGGGCGTGCTATGTGCGCAAACTAGTCACCTAACTAGTGCCCGATTCCGAAAATTGGAACCACGAAGAACAATAAAGAAAAAACAAAGTTTATAATCTGTGGTATGATGTTAACACTCGATTTATACTTTCCAAAAATTATTGTCGTTTATAGAAATTTGCCTATATTTTGTGGAAAAAACAAACAAGAGGAAGAAAAATGGGAGTTTCCATTTAAAAATCATCGAATTTTATACATTTTTTTCTATTTTTTTTTTCGCCTTTTTATGAGCACCCTGTAATATGTATATTTCTTTTCGACGGTTGTTTAATAATTTTTCGATTGAGTACCGGGTGCGTCTCAAAAGTGACTCACCTTATAACTTTTTTTCACATAAAAAAATGAGATTTGGTATGTTAGTACCTATATGACATAAATTAGGATTGATTGACGTATTCAGTTGTTTTCGGTCACTTGCTGTTTCACCGAAACTGCAACTTTTGATTTTTAAATGGCACCCTCGATATTTTTTTCTTTATTAGATAGAAAATGGCACTTTAATAGAATGACATATCATACGTCAACATTAGACATTTTCTCTTAAGAAATCGTATTTTAAATTTTGATCTAGAGTGCCATGGCCGTGTTAAAAACACTAATTTTTAATTCAGAAGCCTTGGAAAAATAGATTTGATCGTCTAATGTTTTTAGTGTCTTGTCCTGACTGGTTAAAATATACCCAAAATCGAATTTTTTAATCATATCTCAATTTTTTCAAACGGAATTAGCATATATGGAAAAAGCATTTTTTATGAACAATTTGGTACCATACGTTTTAGTATTTTGAGTCAAATTATCGTTATGAACCGCATGTTACAATTTCAAATAAACCATATTACGCGAAAATGTCAAAAGTTGACATTTCCTGTCAGGTAAAAACGGATTAAAAATAAAAACCGTAAGACAAAACAAATTACTTGAGAGTTTTACACCACTTAAAGGCCCTATATACTTCGGAAATTTTACGCGGTTCTAACTTTGACGTTTTTAACTGAACAGTCCTACCCGTTCGGTTAAAACCGTGCAAAATAACCGAAGTGTATGGGAAGTTCCTTAAAGCAAAAGAAGTGGTCGAACACTATTTAAATATCGTATAATCTGGAAAAACGAGATGATCGAAAATAAAGGAGACCGTTCTCTTTCCCAGTTAATCATTGGGGACATTAATGTGGCCCGATTTCGACAGCTTTATCTCCTCTATTAAGTTTTACGACTTGACAACAATAATATTCTGTCAGGTCTGGATCGTTCCCGTTAACGAGCTTATTTTGTTTGAAAATCTATAGTTTTAAATACTGGAAAATGGATTTTTTTTTTGTATTTGATGAATGATATTTTTGTGTCGATATTTGCTACAAAAAAATTCAGAACATGGTTTTTAATATCATCATTATTATACAGAGTGGTCCGAATTGTATTCAGGAAACTTCGGCAGCATATTCTGTTAAAAAAGTTCGTATAAATATATGTCGTAAAATTATTCGTTTCGGAGATACAGAGTGTAGAATTTTAATTTTTATTTCGGATTTTTCCAAGTAATTTATGAACTATAGTCTATATTTGGATAAAAATTGGTGCCAGGGTGTTTTTTAACATGTAACATTTTTTAACATTATCCATACAAAATAGTGGAAAAATATATCATTCATTAGGAATTATTTTCTTTAATCTCATGATAAAAATATAAATTTTTGGTGTGCATGAACTAAATTGCAATTGCCAATTTTAAAGAACTCGTGAAAACCTCAAAAATGCAAAGGATTAAAAGCAACACATTAGAATTCACTACAGAGTGATAAATTCTAAAATAAAATTATAGATAAAAACGTATATCCTATTATAAAAAAGATATTAGTAGTTACCAATACCGGGTGATTATCAAAAATAAATTACCCCTACAACTTTTTTTTTAGATAAAGAAACGAAATTTGGTAGGTTTAGTATACGACATAAATCGACGACATTAAATAACACCCACAATATTTTTTTACTTTATTCGATAAAAAACGACACTCTGAATACAATGACATATATAATATGTCAACTTTTGACATTTTCGCATAAGGTTTATTTGAAATTGTAACATGCAAATTATAACGACATTTTGACTCGAAATAACAAAAGTGTGTGGTACTAAATTATTCGTAAAAAAATGCTTTTCCATATATGCCAATAAGCCATCCTCGTTTCATTTAAAAAAAATTGAGATATGATAAAAATCCGCGATCAAATCTATGTTTCCAAGGCTCCTTGATTATAAATTCGTGTTTTTAACACAGCCAGGGCACTCTAAATTGAAATTTAAAACACGATTTTTTAAGCGAAAATGTCAAAAGTTGACATGTGCTATGTCATTCTATTCAGAGTGTCTTTTTCTATAGAATAAAGTAAAAGAGTACCGACGGTGAAGTCATTTCCGGTGAAACAGGAAGGAACCGAAAACAGTTGAATACGTCAATCAATCCTAATTTATGTCATATATTGACATACCAAATCTCGTTTTTTTTATCTGAAAAAAAATAAAAAAGTTATAGAAGTGAGAAGTGAGCCACTTTTGAGAAACACCCGGTATATTAGTTGTAATATAGAGTATATCTACAATATTCCTGATATATACTGGTATATTCCTGGTATTATGCTGAGTATTTACAATGTGGTCGTTGGAAAATCCTTTAATAAAATTAGGTTGTCCATCTAAATGCACAGATATATACCCAGATTTTATTCATATACCCATGGGAAATTTACCCAAAGGGTATATTCAACCATCACTGAGCGTAGAACATTTACAATTTTTTTAAGTATCTACGATACAATTGTTTCGTTCAAAAAAGGCAAAAAACAGAATATTTGTAATATTTAGGCTATTTATTCTACGTTAAGATCCCTTTCTGTATACTTATTTTGATGAGACATTTTTTTGTTACTCTGAGTCGCGCTGCTGTGTGAGTGTGGATTTAGTGGGTGACGCGTTCACGAAATTAACTCGGCAGTGTATTAGCGCCCGTGACAAATGGCGCTCATTTACCGGCTCGACAATTTGTAGACATTTAGGAGCGAAACTTTTTTCGGCCGTAAATCTCTCTTTTAATAGTCTGGAATGCGCCGTCTGCGTCTCTACAAATGCCCGCGCGTATGTGCCCGCGTGTGTCGTTAACTTTTCCGGCCGCGCCGCAGCTTATTTTGACTTTTTTCCACGATTTTTATCGCCTTCCCAACGTCTCCGCTTCTTAATTATCGTTATCTGTCGTTAGACAACGCTCGTATTTATTAAAGTCGTTTTTCTAGAAGGTTTAGTAACGTGTTGGTCTCTTTCTTCATCTAAAAACAACTTCACATCACCTACCCGTGAATATGCAGTGATTATTTTTTCTTGTTCAGTTAATAGCTCTCCATACACTAGAAGATTTGGCCTGCAGACTTGGTCTGCAAGTTTAGTAGGCAGACTTGGCCTGTCATGTACAAAAATCTCTTGTATTTTGGTCTGCAGATTTGGCCTGCCGGCTTAAATCTATCGTTTAGATCTTAAACTTACAAATCATTATAGAGATTACCTAATTGAGATCTACCAGCCCTGAAAATATTTGCATTTATTTAAGACTTACCTTGTATATTTATTAATTAATTCCTAATATATAGTCAAAACTAAACAGCAATTTAAAATATATTTAATATAATTTTTTATAATTTTTTTAGTACAGGCAGCGCCATCTTACAGAAACCATTTATAGTTCGCGGAAATAAAATTCATATGTCCGAAATAATAAAAATTCAAATCTCTGTTAACCATAGAACATAAACAATGCCATTTTGACGCCAACAAATCAAACCTAACCTCATTTAAACAACTTATCTGTCATTATTCATTATTCTCGCTCGTCCATTTAATATTTAATCGAATCTAAATTTTTCGATATAATACAAAAATCTAAATAATGGCTTTTAACTTTTCAGCATTTTCGTATATAATCGCGTTAATTGTTGATGCTTTCTTAATATTCTTCTCCCTATTTCACGTTATAGCCTTCGACGAACTGAAAACCGATTATAAAAACCCAGTGGAGCAATGTAACAGTTTAAATCCGGTATGTATTTATATTTGTAATTAAGAATTTCAATATTAATAATAGGAATAACTGAAAATGACATTAGACTTGAAAAATAAGTAATGCAAATAAAACCCTGAAGCATTTTACTGAACAGTCAATATTTGCATTTTACAAACACATCTCTATACTTTATACATGATAAGAAAAATTTTGTAAATAAAATGTTTTTATTTTAGCTCGTACTCCCAGAATATATTCTACATATAGTGTTTAACGTCCTTTTTGCTGCCTCTGGAGAATGGTTGTCACTATTTTTCAACTTGCCTCTCATAGCTTATCACATCAATAGATATCGAACCAGACCGGTGATGTCTGGTTATGGTATCTATGATCCAACAAGTATTATGAACGCCGATCAGCTAACGAGATGTCAGCGGGAAGGTTGGATTAAGCTAGCTTTTTATTTACTCTCCTTTTTCTATTATTTATATGGGTACGTAATAGCATTAGAAAGAGAGCACTTAGAACAAACTTAAATTTTAAGCTATACAAATTTATTATTATAAGTAACTTTAAACTCAACTATTAATTAGATAGTTAAACCTGTTAATTTTAATAAATTTTGAAAATTTATTAATTTACTAACTTATGGTGTTGATTGAGGTTTTTATTTTTTGTGATATGGCTGTGAGATTTTTTATAAAGCAATATTATTTCGATAAAATCGGCTCTCATGACATTTGTTAAATCTAAACTTAGGCATTGCATGTTTCTTTCATATCTCATTATAATATATTCAGCGTAAAAGAGTTCAACGCCATAAGACTAATAAAATTTTTAATTCATCATTCATTAGAAGTTTTTTAGAACCGAAATCTGTATTTTATCTGTTTGTTGCAGAATGATTTACTCATTAATTTCGTCTTAGTGCAGTCTTGGGAAACAGAACAAACCTGAAGGTGAAATAAGCAGCAAAAAGATGAGTTGTTAAGGTTTCGGTTCTAAAAATTTATGCCTTTCATTATTTCAACTTAAATTTTTAGTGATGCATAAGTTTTAGAACTGATATACCTTCAAATAGATTTGTTGTATTAATATTTTTTTTATGTTTTGAGTTGTGTCAGTAGTAGAAAATTTACATTTGAATATTTTGTATATCTAATTTTAGATGTTTCAGGCATATAAATTTCATTAATTATTAGGCTTATTTTGTAAATAAATATTTATAACAAATGTGTACTAAGCATTTTTTGTTTTTTAAAAAACCAGTCCTATATATTTAATAATTTTCAGAGTTAAATACATATACTGAAATGGGGCGGACAATAAAATTACATTTTAGTATAACATATATTAAATATAGAAAAAATTACAGAAAATATATATAAAATGACAATTATTATTTTGGAATTTCTTTGGAATGATATATCTATACATTTCATTTGGTTATATTAATACTCTCATCAGTGTATAACTAATATTTCATACATAAAAGTAAAATAATATAAATATGTATATTAGGAATAAAATTTCATTAATTTTATGAGTCATACATGAATCATAATTTTTTACAAAATAGTAGGTCAATATTCAATATAAAGGATAGAGTTCATAAACACTGGAGATCAAAGCGTTTGACACATAGTTCAGTTTGCACATAAAAGTGGAAAAAGACTATTTTTAATATTTAAACAATAACTGTTAAACTAAATTTTTGACCAATAAAATGACCAACTTATATATAATAAATCTACTTGGGTAAAAAAAAGTGGCAACATTGTTCTTATTTACCCAATTTTGATAATAACCAATCTTCAGTTAGATCCTCTAGTTCCCTAATCTCAAAAGCTCTATTTACGTCAGCCTCTTTCTGCAAAGAGATCTTCGAACCTGCGTACATAATTTGGAGTTCAGCGTGGCTATCCCGTGGAGTAAAAAAGATAAAACATAAGGGAAAAGATGTTCTGCCGTCTTTATGTTCTTGTTTGTAAGAGAGTATTATGAAACGGGGTTGGTGGCCTGGTAAGTTCTCCTGCAAGTCTTCAATAGAAATATTTTCAAATTCCTCATCTATAATAATCTGCTGTTTCTCGCGATCAACTTTTACTAAAATAATATATTACTTATTAAGAAAAATGGATTTAACTAAATTTATCTTACAAACGAGGGCGGAAGTGTCTTGCTCTTTTCTAAATCTAAACTTTTTTAGAGCTTCCTTTACATCAGCTGTTATTTCACATATATTTACGTTTCCTGACTAAAACAAAAGTAAATGACATATAAGAATACCTGTGTTGAATTATTTATTTTATTTTTACCATATTAATAACAATTTTTTATTAATCATTCACGTTTGGGTTGAAATTGAATCACAATCACAGAATTAAATTTTATCTATGATTATAAACTTAGATTATAAATTACTACGAAGATAGAATTAAACAATAATTTTCTGATCTATGGTATAGTTTACAATCATATATAAATTTTATATATCATAGATAGAGATAGAGGTTCAAGTTAACGTCTCCTTTCTGCTGCAATGGCTAAACTGGACGGGACCTACTTGTTTACGCGGAATCCGAACCGCGGTCCTCGGCCATATCATGGTCAATGGCCTACCGACTTAGGAAGTGTCTAAATTAACTCTTACTCACGAGATATCCGATCTCATCCGGCCTTGAACCGGCCGTGAATGAGCAGTGTGTATCAATAGATTTTACACTTTTCCCTTTTTGGACAACAGCACGATGCAAAGTTTCGAACCGGTCACCCGTCCATCCACTAGCATCGCCTTACGTCGCTTAACTTCGGTGTTCTAATGGGAACCGGTGTTTCGACGTAGCTGGGCCGTTGCTTTTTATATATCATGATTTTTGGGCTGTTTGATGGCCACCTTTAGAAAAAGAAGATATGTGGTAGTCAGTGTCAATTGTCATTTGTCATTATTGTCTATTAAGTGTCACCGACTATTTTCATTTTCCCATAATTTTCACTATTTTCACAATTTTGTATTCGAGGAAGAGAAATAGATGTTTGTATTTGTTTATTGTATGTTCAAGTACCATTTCTGAAGTGAAAAATGACTGTAACTGAATTTTTTGGATGCGCCTTTTTAGCTTTTGGACCCCCATTTGCTATGTTTATATTTACAATAGCTCAAGATCCTGTACGAGTCATAATTCTGATAGCAGCGTCGTTCTTCTGGCTTCTCTCATTACTTTTATCCTCATTATTGTGGTTTGCCGTTGTCCCTTTACGACAGTATCTAATTTTTGGACTTATATTCTCAGTGATATTTCAGGAAGTATTTCGTTACATTATTTATAAAATATTACGCAAAGCTGAAAATGGTTTGAAGAAAATAACTGATGATAGTGCTACCCTTATTGACAATAAGCATATTTTGGCTTATGTGAGTGGATTAGGCTTTGCCATAATAAGTGGAGCATTCTCCTTGGTAAATATCCTTGCGGATGCAGTAGGACCTGCAACTATGGGTTTAAAAGCTGGAAATGAAATGTTCTTTTTGACCAGTTCAGCTACAACTTTGTGTTTTATATTACTGCATACATTTTGGGGTGTAATCTTTTTTAATGGATTTGATACGAAAAATAAATTACAAATAGGATATGTACTTGTATCGCATTTGTTGGCTTCCTGTTTAACATTATTAAATAGGTACCATGTATATTCAGCCTCGTTAATACCTTTATATGCTATTGTAGTTCTTACAGGACTGTATGCTTTTAAAGTTGCGGGAGGCTCTTATAATAGCTTTAAGAATTGTATCTCTCTTAAGTGATTAAATATTATTTAAAGTAATGTTATTTAACTTATAAAAAAATTTGTAAGTGCATATTTATTAGTCCATAATTATAAGAATTGTATGTGATCTTAAAAAAAATTAGTATTCTATTTTTAATTAAACTATTATTAGAAATATATGCTTTTTTAACATCTACAGTGTTTTAAAACATATTTCTGTTCCTAAACTTAATGATACTTAATCTCTATTTTATTCACACCTCCTTTTGCTGTGGATAAGATTTTTATCTGATGCGTTGGCGTTGAACAAATTGTTCTGTTTGTTAATATTTGCAGATATTAATCAAAGCTTTCGTTTTCCTGTTATTACCGATTCTGAATCGTCCTAGAACTCTGCAGCGCATACGCAAATGAAATAATGTTTTCATATTTCCTTCTGCACATACCAGAGATATGGAAGTGGGAGAATGAGCTTCGACGAGTGCGCATCCAAATTTTTGTCGACGGCAAGATGGCAGACATCTTCCAGGTCTCGCTGTCACTTCCCCTTTTTAATTGACATCTGTTTGTTTTGTTTTTTTTTCGTTTGTGTTGTTATCTAGTTAAAATTTATTATTATCTGAATTATTCTAAACACTAATTCAAAAAGGCTTGTTGTATATTGTCATAGTCATTCTAAGAAAGCTAATACGCCGGGAAAAATGATTAGTTTTCATGTGTAAGTTTATACAACATAATCGTGTTTACAGATGATCCAAAACTGTTTATTTTAGTTTTCCTAAAGGCGATTTGCAAAAAAATCGTGATTGTAATTGGGAATGGTCAAAAATAAGTATATGATGTGGCCATTTAAAGAGGATGTTTTTATTACGTGTGGAGGAAGAAGATACTTGGAATCAATGTTCGTGCTTCTGTAAAACAGTGCACTCTTATAGTGTCCATGAAAGCACAAGTTCAAGTGTACCAGAAATATGTCAAATATTGTATCACTCAGGCAAACAGATTGGTCCTTACTTGACAAGAAGATTATTTGGAGGAAAAGAAAACATAAGATAGGGTATTTTAATCGAACAGCGAAAATTGAACATTTTTATTGTAAAGTTTGTTGTAGGTAGTTGTAGTTTTATGCTAAATATTTCTAACATTAGCAGCAGCAGTGTTCAGAGTGTCAAGAGGAGGAGAATTCAGTTAATTAGATTTATGCACAGTTACAGGTATGAAGGCTTTTTCAAACATAGTATCAAGTTCTATAGTCAACATTTTTAGTATTCCTACAACTGTAAAAACAAGGAACATTGGACTGAAAAAATGGCAAGATTTATATAGGAAGAAAGGGTGTGCCAATAAGAAAATTAAATCTGTAGGCAGAAGTTTCTTATTTAAAAACTGTTATGGGGCATATATTAATTTGTATCTGTACCACAAATCACTGAGAAAAATCATATAATATTCATAATTGTTAACGAAATGATATTTAAAGAGTGTTAAAAATGAGACTATTAGTCATGAAGCTTACCGTGTTACTTTGTTTCAATATTACACTTTTATTCTTGTAAAATCTATGATGAAGTTCAAAAGCATTTTGCAATGGCCTTAAATTGTGAGTTGTGAGCCAGGATTTATAGTAAAGGTATTTGATGCAATGAAACTTAATCGGTACCTTCCAGTATGTATTTTAGTAAGGGGATTGTCAATCCCATGTTTTTAAATAGATAAAATACAGGCCAAAGTTGACAATATTACAGTTGAGAAGAAACTATTTTATCTTAAAAAAAAATTTCTTAAAATTCTGAGATCATATAATCTAATTTTCTTAATAATAAATTAGGTATATGTACATACAGAATTTTGTTATGGACAAATAAGGATCGACAAGCTTCTTTTGTGCAAAAAATAAATGATTTTTTCTAGTATTACGACAAACCATAATGTGTTTTACAAACTTACCGGTAACAGTTTTTGTTTATAATAAAATATTTAGGAATAATTTGGGTTGTTTATCAATATATTAATGACTTGAATTTTGACAAATCGAATTTGTATCAAAATAATTTTACGAAATATAAAATTGATGTTCTATTACAAGATTGAGTTTTTATTGTCGACAAAAACCAGGATAAATACTAATAATAATACCCTTAATAAAATCAATGATGTTTATGTATTATGAAAATATTTGTTAGAGGACATGTTATGTAACAGTTTTTGAAACATAATTTGAAGGGACGAATAAAAAAAATAAAACAAAAACATATTTTTTCTAGGTTTATATTAAAAATACAAGGTAGATAATCATCAAAAATAATTATGAACCAAATGTTTTTTATGAATATACAACTTGAACAAAAAGTTGTTTAGAACAATTTTTACCAAATTTGCAAAAATTTTAAATTGAAACGCGTAATTCAGTACAAGTAAACATGAAATATTGTAAATACTTATTTAATATCATTTCGAGTGTTTTACGACGAAAAGGTCATCTGTCCGTAGCGTCTTTTGTCAGAATATTCGTATATTTAGTGTATTATATACCAATATTGTACGCAGTTTTGAAACTGATAATTAAATAAATCATATTAATGTTAACTAACCATAATGAATGATAGAATTTCACTAAATTTAAATTGACCCCCGTATGGTTGAAAACAGCAAATTGATATTTGATTACTTATAGATTATCACCTATATACAAAATGACAGGAAGACCTGGAATATGGCGCCCAACTTGATTAGACCTTCTGCGCATGTTGACGCTCATTCTCTATCCCTTCTATTTCTCTGGCACATACGCATCACAGTTCTAGGACGATTCAAAATCGGTAATAAAAGGAAAACGAAAAAAGCTTATGAAAGACAAGGCATTTTTATCAACCATCAGATATTACTGGAGTTGATCCCATCCCATAATAAAGCAAGATCACTTGTCCCTGAAGATGAGGTGTTTTGCTTAGTCGGAAAATATTTTTAATTATACACTCTATACACTTAATTGTATCTCAGTTTTATAAAAAAGAGAATTTTCATTTCGTACAGCAGCCGGCAGTTTTATGTTTTTATTCATTTTATTGTATAATGTATTTTATAAACAAAGGTTTTATCCATAAAAAATAAGGTTTTATTCTTGATCATGCCCATATAACCATAGCCATATACCGCATTTACCTATTAAATGGATTTAATTCATAAATATTTGATTGTTTATGTCCCAGAGATCTTTAAAAAGACCTTAAAACATGCTTAAAACAAGTAAACCAGAAAGTAAATAAATAAATCTGTTTGTGAATCTGTGCATAATCTGTGGTAGGTGGTAGCCAAAAAAATAGGTTATGGGTTATGTTATTTTTGTCTTGTTTATTTCTCAATGTTACAGAAATTTATTGTTCTAGCTTATTGTACTTATAATTAGTTTAAAAATAATAGAAATATGATTAAATCGTGCCCAGGTTCTACAGATGTTACCGTAAGTGGAATTATTTGAATATAATATATATCCTATTTCCTTAATAAAACCCGAATTATTTGTAGGACCTACAATTTAAATTACAATGTAGATTGCAAATTTTTCACAATAATGATATTTCATTATTCTTCAATCCTGTTAGTTTAGTTTCTTGTGCGAGCCGATATGGTCTATTATTTGTAGGACGCACTGATAATAATTTTGAAGGTATGTTTTGGAACTTGAAAGGTTTAATTATTCTAAAGATCATTTTGTAGTTTTACAAACTAAAAATCTTCAGGAATATTCTCCCAAGGATAAAGAGATAAAGACTTATCCAAGAAGAATTGTTAATATTCCATCCTTACCAAAACATGTTTGCATTAATTGTGATAGTACAGTTTTAGCAGTGGTGATTGAAAAAGACCAGTGCCCTGTCGTCTTATTCTATGATGTTTTGTCTTTTCTCAAAAACGATATTAAAGTTTTAAGAGAGGTTCGCTTATCATCAACTCCAAATGTGTATGTCAAGGAAGTTAACTGGAACCCATCTATACCGGGAATATTTACAGCATGCAAAAGTGATGGATCTTTGGGTGTATATGAACTTAAAGGCGAATCAGTAGATATTAATGAGCTTCCATCAGCAGCAGGTGCAACATGTTTTTGTTGGAGTCCTAAAGGCAAACAAATTGCTGTTGGCTCTAGGGATGGTAAAATAACACAGTATAAACCAGACTTGAAAGCTGTTAAAGTTATTGGTGAACCAAAATTTGGAAACCCACATTCTCTCATTAGTTTACAATGGGTTTCAAATTACCAGTTTATCGGGGTCTATCAAGAGGTACCTGAAGGTGGTTCCCGTCTAGTAGTAGTTGATGCTCCAAAAGCTGGTGAGCCTTCTTACACAAATTACGATGATGTCTGTTACAGTGGTTCTTCACGGCCACCTCAATTTTACCTTAATTTTCAACAAAATTGGTAAGTAAATTTTTATATTACAATATACTGAATTTTAATGATTATTACATTCTAGGAACTTTCTTATGGTAGCATCAGCAAATGGCACTGAAGTAGGAGTATTAGGAAACAATGGGGAATCTTGGAGACAATGGATTATGCCTGATTTTGCAAGAGCAGAATTACCCTTAAGTTTAGATTACCAAGAAACATTGCCAGTTGGCTTGTCATTAGATATTAGCTCTACAACTCCATTACCATGGGGTGAATCTAGTATACCACCATGTCCTTTGCTTTGTGTCCTTTCTCATCAAGGTGTTTTGTCTTGTTTCAATGTTGTATATTTAAAAGATGGTATTCCATCGGTGTGTACTCCACCAGATTCTGTAGCAGATCAAAGTGGGTTATCTAAATTTGTTACGTCTTCAAATTCAGGACAAAGTGTTATAAGTCAAGCCACTCCTGTTAAGCCAATCTTTGATACCCAACCTGTTAGAAGTTCTGTTGCCTCTACTCCAAAGCCAGTATTTTCTTTTACAGCTCCAGTTCAAAGTACTCCTCTTAATTCTGGAATGACACTGTCAGAAACATCTGCTCCATTTCCTGATCAAACAACTTTAACTCCTATAAAAGGTTCTACATTATTTGGAGGCCAAACTTTAATTACACCTGTAACAAAACCTACTGTAACTACTAGCTTAGCTCAAGTACCAGTTCAGGCTACTACTGCAACTTCAGTTGAAAAAACTTTACCAGCAAATGAAAAATATTCTTCAATTTTTTCTTCATTGGGTGCGTCTATAGCTCCACAAGTACCTGCTGCCGCTGCACCAGTGAAGCCAATTGTAATTAATGCTTTTACACAGCCTAAGACAGAAGTCAAAGAGAAACCTACACCAGAAATTGTACCTAAACAAGATACTTTTAACAAGTTGATACCCAAACAAGAGACAGAAGTGGTCGATCCTGATTTGAAATTTGAATCATCTGCCATGTTCAATCAAATGATAAAAGACGAATGGCTTATTATGGACACAGAACTAAAAGTTTTACTGAAGCAATGTCTTAAGGTAAAGGTAGATTGTGGGACTGAACAAGAAAAGGTTGATATGGTGCTTCAAATTGATAATTTGGAGAAATTTGTTAAGGAAGCTATTGATATTAGCATCGGACAAAGTAGCGAAATACACGCCTTGAAACAAAGTTTGCTGCAATCTTGGGCATGGCTTGAAGAGGCCAGATCTCATTATCATGCTTCAAAAAATGAGACTGTTGCTCTCCTTATAAAATTACAACCTCTTGATTCAGTAGCTGAGAAAAAATTAAAAGACATAAAACAGCTGATCTACTATCTTGAATCACAGTTATCACAAGCCAGTAAAACCTTAGATGAGCAATGGGATAACTTTCAGAATTTTGCCAAAAAAAAATATCGGGTGCAAATGCCTACAATGGAAACAATCTTTCAAACTATGGTTAATCATAGTGCTGTTCTTCAGAAACAAACATATGTTTTAAAAGATATAGCAATGCGTCTTAGAAAAAAACCTTCCGAATCAACTTCTTTATTACTGTCTCTTGATAAAGCTAACGAATTAGCTGATAATTTGAAAGATCTTCATCTCAGTACCCGCGATGTGACAGAGCTGCAATATGAGAAAATACGCCATTACACCAATTGTTTAACCGGTACTAAAATCAACAAACTAAAAGAACTTGTAAAGCAGAGAGGGGTAACAGTTATTAAGCCTCAGTTACCATCTGCTCCTGTGAACTCATCTGCAAGTAAATTAAAAGAGTCAATTGCAAAGTTGGGGGTAAACATTACACCAGTTTCTAGAGCTGCTGTAGCCAGAAATTTAGATTTTACTCAATTGGCTTCCCAAAAGGGAATAAAAGATGCCACACCATCAATACCATTAGATTCAAAAGTGTCATCTTTAGGAGATAATACTACTCAAAAGTCGAGTTTTATGTTTAAATCTTCTTCAGTAACTTCAACAACAGGATTTATTTCTCTTGCAAAAACAGGTTCAGGCATCATTAGTACTCCAGGCAGTGCATTTGCACCTACTGGGTCTATACAGGGAGTTGATATTGCAAAAAGTCAATCAAGCATCATAGGTAGTAGTGCATCTTCAACTGTCTCTTTTAATGTACCCAAAACGTCGACTTTTGCTTCAGGAGATAGCAGTGCTTTCGTAGCTAAGCCTGTAGTAAGCAATACAGCAATGAAACTCCAGCCAAAAGTTCCAAAAGAAACGATTGCTTCCCAAGGAACCCCAAGCTTTGGTTTTTCATTTGGACAAGGAAGTACTCCTGTTACAACAAAAACAGTGGCTACAAGTTTATTTTCCTCAACTCCATCTAGTACTTTTATGCTTACAAAAACTGAACCTTCCCAAATGCACATACCGGATAGCAAGACTTCTAATTCAAATGCTTCATCACATTTGGTCAAACCTATACAGACGCCACCCACCACAACAGCAAGTGAAGGCGCTTTTGGTTCTCAATTGTTTTCTTTTGGTACTTCTAAGTCATCTACTATAGCGACCACGCCTATCACAACAGTATCGGCTTCAATTACCCAACCAATTAGTCTAAAGTCCACTAGCGCCACTCCATTTATAGGGGAAACACGTACTCCTATTAGTTTCAATCAAAGCGAAGCTCCCAAGCCAGCCCTTAGTTTTGGGTTCCCCGCTGCCTCTACCCCTCCTTCATTTTCTATCCCCAGTATATCATCCGCAGTTTCTACTACTAGTACATCTTCAGTAACTTCAAATTCTGAGGCCCTTTTCAAACCCGCAAATACAGTTCCCATTAATTTGACGTCACAGTCTTCAGAAAGTGCCAAGCCCACAGTCACAGATGTGACAAATTCCGGTTTAAATATTTTTGGTTCATCTGGAAAACCTACAGCTGTTAGTGGTTCAAGTTTGTTCGCTGCCGTCAGTAAATCTGCTGAAAACACGACTACTGTGACTCAGTCGTCCATTTTTAATACAAAACCTATAGTTATAAGTACAACACCGCAAGGAACAACATCGGCGCCTTTCAGTTTTTCAACTTCAAGTAGTAATGTGCCAAAAAGTACGTTCGGTAACGTATTAGGTAGTACAGCCACGTCGCCATTATCCACTGAAAATTCTGGAACTTCTACGGCAGCATCCCCCTTATTTGGAAACTTTACATTAACATCAGCAGCTCCATCTTCAGTACCTGGAGGTCTAACAACTAGTACACCATCAATCTTTCAAAGCAGTTCAGAGAAACCTTCTCTCTTTCAACCAAGTAGCGTATCTAGCTCTATATTTGGATCTACAGTAATAGCTAAAACAACTCCAGAACAACCAGTTACAACAGCAACAGTGTTTGGTGGTGTGGCAACATCTACACAGCCTGAGAGTACTGCAACGGTGACCACTGCGTCTTTGTTTGGAAAGGTCGAACCAGTTACAACAACCAGCATATTTAACACACCAAAAACGAGTGCGTCTGTTTTCGGTGGTTCACCAAGTATAACAGTCACTGCTACGGAATCCTCGAATTTTTTTGGTAGTTCCGCACCGGTGTTTTCACCTCCTGCAATAACATCTTCAACTGTGTTTAATACGCCTCCAGAAAATATTTTTAGTAATGCAGCCACATCGAGCGCCTCTAATATATTCGGAGGCACAACACAAAATAGTATTTTTAATTCTCCTACCACTTCAACTCCAAGTATATTTGGTAAAAGTACAACAGCACCTATTTCTAGTTCTTCAAGTATTTTTGGTAGCCCTGCCACAACTGCGTCTTTTGGTTCGCAAAATAATTCAATATTTGTGTCAGCTGCAAAAAGTCCGCCCAGTATTTTTGGTCAATCGCCAGTTTTTGGAAGTTCACCTTTTAATACGACGCAGCCTCAGGCGACTACTACCTCCGTATTTGGCCAATCAACGACAAATGTTTTGGGATTCGGCTCAACAACTACCACTTCAAATAGTTTTCCCACATCGAGCGCTTCGACGGGTACTTTTGGATTCGGAGGACTTAATGTTGGAAGTACCACTCCATCTGGAAGTATCTTTGGAGGAACGAGCACTGGGTTTGGACAAGCACCCAATGAAAATCCGTTTGGCAAAGTTGAAGTGAAACCGGCTTTCGGTTCGAGCAGTACAAGTATATTTGCTGGCGCTCCTTCAAATACCGGGTCTGCAAGTATTTTCGGTAGTCCAGCGACAACAAGTTCGATCGGGTCTACAAATGTTTTTGGTAGTCCGGCAACAACGACCTCCATTGGATCTACAAGCATTTTTGGTAGTCCAGCAACCACTAGCTCCATTGGTTCTACAAACATTTTTGGTAGTCCAGCAACCACTAGCGCCATTGGATCTACAAGTATTTTTGGTACTCCTGCAACTACCACTTCTATATTTGGTTCAAATACTGGCTCAGCTTTTGGAAGTTCAGGTAATTATAATATTGTCACAGATTCCGTGAGATAATTTCTACAGAAATAGTGAGAATAATTGAGAGTGAATAAGAAAAATTTAACATTCACATCATTTCACTGTTATAGAAATGTACTGAATAGTTTTTTTGCTTTAAGATGGAAATTTTGGTTCTCAAAATACATTTGCCAGTCCCAGTTTTGGCCAGAAGTCAGTTTTCGGACAAACTGCGACATTTGGGTCTCCAGGCTTCGGCGCATCTCAAACCGCTGGCGCTTTTAGTGCAGGCGGTGGTGGTTCCGTGGCACAGTCTGGATTCGGATCTCCAAGCTCTTTCCAGAAACCTACCGGCTTTGGAAGCCCGCCTGTATTCGGAGGTTCTCCAGCTGCTGTTCCTGCCTTTGGAGCGGCACCAAGTTTTGGAGGCACGCCTGCGTTTGGAGCGGCACCTACTTTTGGTTCTCCAGATAAGGTTTTTGGGTCTTCACAACAACCTACTGGTGAGTAGAGATTGGTTGATGATAGAAAAAAAAACGGTATCAGAGTCAGCTTGGAAGTAAAGGTCATTTTATGTCTTAGGAAAATATCATCAATTGTCTTTTCTAAAGTATCTTGACGCCGTTATTTTTTTCGATCATAGGCTATTCTATATTTCATATTTTATACTAAATTTTTTACAGGATTTGGGTCTATGGCTACAGCACAGCCAAATACCGGATTTGGAAATATGTCTTCTCAGAATACCATAGGTTTTGGTAATTTGGCTCAACAAGCCAATACACCAACTTCCATGCCATTTTCAGGGTAAGAAATGTCATGAATCAGTGGTATAAAATAAAAATGTTAACATTTAACAATTACCTTTACAGAGGCTCATCATTTTCAACTTGGCGATGAACTGTTTCTACATCATCTAAAGAGATTTTTATAATTTTTAATAAATAAGGAAGAAAAGAAACTATGATTATTTTCAATGTTATGTAATAAATTAATGTAATACATTGTTTTTAAATATATGAATACTATTGTCAGTGCCACCAGATAAAATATACTTATTATTTGACCAATCCACTGCCAGAACTTGTCCTTCGTGTCCTTGTAAGTTGTACAAGGGAGCTTTCGGGCTTCTTGTATCCCACAGTTTAACTGTTGAATCATAACTTCCAGATAAAAAGAGATGTTCATCATATTTTGACCACGTGACACAGCTCACCTAAAAAAAATATGAGAAACTTTTATATACAATAAGGGTGTCAAAAATGTTTCAATACAATAGCACACCAATAAAAAAGTTATTTTGACATACATTTAACAGATATAAATAATATAAATTTTCTAATTTAAAAATAGGGATTCAAAACTTTCTTTCATTTAAGGATCTAATTCTTTTTTAGTTCTTTAAAAATCCTTGTACAAATACTAAAGAAAATTATTCATCCTAAGGTCTTGTATTTTTTAAGATCCTTTTAGTACTCTATAAACACTAAAAAAATGATCTTAATATCTTTCATGTTTTTTTAAGATCCCTGTAAAAAGATTCTTTTTGGGTCGCTCTATGAATACTATAATTTTCTTACCCATAAGACGTGAGAAGTAAACATCGATTTACAAATGGAACCTTCATTAGATCTAGGATCATAGAGGCGTATATGCCTGTCTGCAGATGTGGCTAGCAATGTGTTTGATAGTGGAGACCATGAGGCACTTAAAAAAGCCTTCTGGTCAATAATTTCATTTTTAATTCCATACAGCTAAAAAAATAAAATTAGTATAAACCATCAAGATTTATTAAAAACCCCTATCATACTTCACAATCCCAGAATTTAATGGTGTGGTCCATTGAGGCTGTGCAAACTGTGTGATTATCAATCCAATTTATCGCAGAAATTGTTTCTTTATGACCATTTAATGTGTGCAGTGGAACTCTGGTATAAATTCCTTTTCCTAGACCTCTTAACTTTTTAGTGCTAGGTTCCCCAGAATCATCCACTTCTAATGAAGCTGACCATAACTTTAAATTTGTGTCCCATCTATAATGAAAATATTAAAAAATCTTGCAACTGTACTTTTTTAATTACTGACCCTCCAGTTGCTAATTTCGTGCTATCAGGACTTACACCGACACTATCTATTCCCCTTTCATGACCCCTTAAATGAATTTTTGGTGTAACTTCTTTAGTACCTTCTTTCCATTCCCATATTATACCGGACTGATCATGAGATACACTTACAAATCCTTTAGTTATATCAGATTTACTAATCCAAGTTACACCTTTAACCATTTCAGTGTGATTTTTTACAAATGCTACAGGTTTTCCATGGGAAGTCCATATGCTTACTGAATGATCATAACTTCCAGATAGTATCCTAAAAAAATTACCATTATAGCTTTAGTTTGGAAAAAATACCTCTTATTACCATTTGTCAGTAGTTTCAATAGAAGAGACCCAGTCATCGTGTAAAATACTATCTTCTGGTTCGGGAGCTGGGATTCTTTCGATGTATTCAATGTCGATAGTGGACTCTGTTGAAACATTATGCTCCTGTAAATGCTCTGCTAAAGGAAGTCTTATTATTTCGCCTACAGCTAGAAAATCATATTCCTTTGGTTTTAAAAAATCAGGATTGCTCTCTTTTATCAATTCATTTAACAGTTGGTTTAATGCTTTAATATCTATAGTGGAAGGTACAGTAAGCGGTACGTCTGGTACAGCATAGCTAGAATAAAAATATATTAAAATTGGTTCAACATACAAAAAACAGACATACATTTCTTGAGTTGTTATCAATCTAATTTGTAATTGACTCTCTTTAGAGGACTGCATGTTTATTGTTTTTATAAAATTAGCGTGTCAATTTTTAAGGCTATAAACAGAAATCTACCTCTCTTTTATTAATTTGATGGCCTAAGCTGCTAGGACTACCCGACTCTATTAGTTGCGTAGATCATATAAATTTATATGAATTATTGAAACAAAACATATAGGTGTCCAATCAAATAATATTTATCTTCTTTATGGACACAGTATTGTGTAAAAAATAAGTAGGTAGTAAAAAAATATTTTTACGAAAGACATCAAATTATTATTTACAACATACAACCCTCATTATTCTATATATCCTTGCCTCACACATAAGAAAATTATTAATCAAACTGATCTGTGGCGCATCTCTTGAAAATAATTTGACAGTTTGATGACGCCATGACACCATGACAGGACGCCATTTTAAGTTTTCGGCTTTAAAAGGCAGCGATTTTTCCTTGACGTTTTCAGTTTTCAGTTTTCAATTTCCATTTACCATTTGCCAGTCGTTGGTCTTGGAATTGTTAAGTTTTGTAGTTTAACAAATTTTGAAATTTTACTTTAACTTCAGTTTTAAGATAGTGTAGTAAAGTGTTTATTAGTTTCCATATAATATACAATGGAACTTTCAACTATATTACCTGCCCCAGTGCAACCCGTTTGGGATAGGGACGATGAAAGAAGAAAGAGAGCCGCTTTAAAGCCTTACATGGAACTAGTTTCCGCACAAGCAATAGCCCCGCCATACGGACAAAGACGAGGCTGGGTCCCCCGAAATGTTACCGATTATGGCGATGGAGGTGCATTTCCAGAGATTCATGTTGCCCAATATCCGTTGGAAATGGGGCGCAAGAAAAACTCATCTTCTAATGCTCTGGCTGTACAGTTAGATGCGGATGGAAAAGTTAAATATGACGTTTTGGCGAGACAAGGACATTCCAAAGACAAGATTGTATATTCTAAACTCTCTGATCTTTTGCCAGTCGAAGTAGTTGCTGAAAACGACCCCTCATTAGAAAAACCATCTCAAGAAGAGGTAGAAGATACCACTGAAAAAACGAGACAGGCTTTGATGAGGCTTACTAATTCCAAAATAGCTGCCGCTATGCCAGTTCGTGCTGCAGAGAAATTAGGCCCTGCACAGTTTATTCGTTACACTCCTTCCCAACAAGGAGCTGCCTTTAATTCTGGCGCCAAGCAGAGGATTATCAGATTAGTTGAAGCTCAAGTTGACCCTATGGAGCCGCCGAGATTTAAAATCAACAAGAAAATTCCAAGAGGGCCACCATCTCCCCCTGCACCTGTGTTACATAGTCCTACTAGAAGAGTAACAGTGAAGGAACAGAAAGAATGGAAAATTCCACCGTGCATATCGAACTGGAAAAACGCCAAGGGATACACAGTGCCTTTAGATAAAAGATTAGCAGCAGATGGAAGAGGTTTACAACAGTTACATATCAATGAAAATTTTGCAAAACTGGCAGAAGCTTTGTATATTGCTGACAGAAAAGCTCGTGAAGCTGTTGAAACAAGAGCACAACTGGAGAAGAAATTGGCGCAGAAAGAAAAAGAAGCCAAAGAAGAGCATTTAAGGCAACTGGCCCAAAAAGCGCGTGATGAAAGGGCCGGCATTAAAGTACCAGGAGCAGGTCATTCTAAGAACATGGACGATGAAGAACAAGAGAGAGAATTGCTTAGGCAGGATAGACACAAAGAGAGAGCCAGGGAGAGAAATCTAGCTAGAGCGGCTCCCGACAAGAGAAGTAAATTACAGCGCGAAAGAGAAAGAGATATATCTGAACAAGTTGCTCTTGGAATGCCAGCAAGAGGCGTTTCTTCAAATGAAACTCAATTTGATTCCCGTTTGTTTGGTCAAGCCAAAGGTTTGGGTCAAGGATATGGCGACGATGAAGCTTATAACGTTTACGATAAACCATGGCGAGATGGAGGTTCAATGGCAAATCATTTGTACAGGCCTAACAAAAATATTGACAAGGAGGCGTATGGTGGAGAAGAACTAGAGCAGGCAATAAAAACAAACCGATTTGTACCAGATAAGGAATTTGGCGGTACCGATAGGTCAGGAGCAGCTCGCAGTGGACCTGTGCAGTTTGAAAAGGAGGAAGATCCATTCGGTTTAGATCAGTTCTTGTCGCAAGCTAAAAGGGCCAGTAAACGGAAGGAACCTGAGAAAAGAGATGACAGAGATAAGAAGAAGCGTAGAGATTAATCTATTGTACTTTGCTTTTTTTTATTTTCACTTGTATAAGACCTCATTTATATAATATGTAATATAGTTTGTAAGTAAATAAATATAAATATTCTATTTCTTGTTTATATGTTATATTATACCTATATTAGGCGTTGTTTTTAATTTTTTGATGAATATATACCTTTTCTATAATTGCAATGAAATTATAATCTAATTAATTATGAAATCTTTAACATAACATAGAAAGAATAAAAAATCAGTTTCACCTTATTTTCTTTCAGTTTAATGTCTTTTTTTTAGCCTAGAATAGTTTAAGGTTTATTTCACAAACGAGCTTTAAGTAAATTAATAATAAACTATAAAAAAGTATTATGAATGAGTAATAAAGTATATTCAAATTTTCCGCCATATAAGCAGAAAAGTTAATTTTATACAGAGATATATGGCTGTATATTTTATACACTTCCACTTTCATATCTCTAATTATGTCATAAAATTTGTAATAAAAATATTAGGTATGACCCTGGATCATATATAATGTTAACAGGCGTGATTCATAAGATTTTTTTATCTATGATCTTTTATACATATGACAATTGACAAGTCAACATAATATGACAAGCGTCTATTACTTTGTTTACATTTTTTCTAATTTTTTGGATGTAACAGATTAAGTGAATTAGAATAATAATTTAATTTATAATTTTAAATATGCATCGACGAGGAGGTAAAAGAATTCGTCTCGACGATCCACCACCAGAATACGAAAATCCGATGACCCCTCAAGTTGAGCAAGAAAATTACGGGGGTAACTATGGACATTCGGGGATGTATGGGGAGGCCTACCAGGAGCAAGCCCCTGCTTCGGACACAATGTTTGAATCACCTCCAACTCCTGGAATGAGACGCATTACCAGGTTTAAAACATTTTATTTGTTTTTTTTACTTTTTTTCTAGAAGTATGCTCTACATTTGTTATTTTGTTAAATAGGGCTAGAGCAAGAGGTATAACGAATCCTCCCCCGCCACCGCCGTCTTATTCTCCACCACCTGAAAGACCAGGAAGGGGTAGAGGTCGAGGTAGACCTCCAGGACGAAAGAATAATGTTACAGTGGAACTTCTTAGACATGATAGTGATGAAGATGCATCACTTTATAGCATTATCAAAAACGGAAGAGTTTCTCTAACCAATATTGTAGATGACTGGATTGAAAGTTATAAAGTAAAATTTTTAATTTTCTTGATATACAATAATTTATAATATTATTTTTAAGGCAAATCGTGAAAATGCATTAATTTCACTTATGCAGTTTTTTATTAATGCTGCCGGTTGTAAAGGTCATATTACTCAAGAAATGCAGGCGCAAATGGAACATGCTGCAATTATCAGAAAAATGACTGAAGAATTTGATGAAGAATCTGGAGAATATCCATTAATTATGGCTGGGCAAATTTGGAAGAAATTTAGACAAAACTTTTGTGATTTTGTACAAACTCTAGTAAAACAATGTCAGTACACAATTATCTATGACCAGTTTTTAATGGACAATGTGATTTCACTTTTAACTGGATTGTCAGATTCCCAAGTAAGAGCCTTTAGGCATACGGCTACATTAGGTGCAATGAAGCTAATGACAGCTTTGGTTGACGTAGCTCTTACAGTTTCCATAAATTTGGACAATACCCAGCGACAGTATGAGGCAGAAAGGCAAAAATCAAGAGAGAAAAGGGCAAGTGACAGGTTAGAAGCTCTTCTCGGAAAACGTCAAGAATTAGAAGAAAACATGGATGAGATCAAGAATATGTTAACCTACATGTTCAAATCAGTTTTTGTGCACCGTTACCGTGACACTTTGCCAGAAATTAGGGCCATAGCTATGACAGAAATTGGTGTCTGGATGCATAAGTTTCATGCTAATTTTTTGGACGATTCGTATTTAAAATATATTGGTTGGACTCTTCATGATAAAGTTGGTGAAGTAAGACTGAGATGTCTTCAGGCTTTACAGCCTTTGTACGCTAGCGAAGAGTTGAAAGGGAAGTTGGAACTTTTTACCAACAAATTCAAAGATAGGATTGTTGCTATGACCTTAGATAAAGAGTATGATGTTGCAGTGCAAGCAGTCAGATTAGTGATTTCAATTTTGAAACACCATCATGAAATTTTGACAGATAAAGACTGTGAACATGTCTATGAATTGGTAAATAATATAATTGAGTAAAAATAAAAAGAATTTAACATACTTTTGGAACTGCTTTACAGGTTTATTCATCACACAGAGCAGTAGCACAGGCAGCAGGTGAGTTTTTGAACGAACGGTTGTTCCAGCCGGGTGATATGGATGCAGGGAAGACAAAAAGAGGAAAACGACGCCTTCCCAATACCCCTTTTATAAGGGATCTGGTTCAGTTCTTTATTGAGTCAGAGTTACACGAGCATGCAGCATATTTAGTAGATTCTTTAATTGAATCAAATATAATGATGAAGGATTGGGAGTGCATGACAGATTTGTTGCTAGAAGAACCAGGACCACAAGAAGAACCTCTTGATAATAGGTATCATTTAGATGCTTTATTTTTATACAGTGTTAATGATTTTTTTTACAGGCAGGAGACGAGTTTAATAGAAATAATGGTTTGTTGTGTGAAACAGGCTGCTACAGGTGAGCCACCTGTAGGAAGAGGGCCTAACAGAAAAGTTTCTTCTTTAAGAGAAATCAAACAGGTGATTCTGTAGTAGCATTCTTTTTTATTTGTTTTTTAATTATTGGTATTGCTTTTCAGACTGGTGAAGATAAGCAGAAATTGACTGAACATTATATTGTAACACTTCCACATTTGTTGGACAAATTTTCAGCAGATCCAGAGAAATTGGTAAATCTCTTAAGTATACCACAGTATTTTGATCTTGACTTATATACAAGTGGAAGACAAGAAGGATCTTTACAAGCCCTTCTGAATAAATTAAAATATATAGTACAAGTTCATCATGAAGCAGAGGTAAATATTATTAAAATCTACTGAAGGATCATTATTTTTTATTTATTTTAATAGGTGTTAGAAACACTTGCAAAAACTCTTGAAATTCTTTGTACTGAAGGTCATTCTATATTCACAAAATGTGACGTTGCAAGATCTACTATAATTGATGTTATTGTATCTACATACAAGGATGCTATAGATGACTGGAGAAATCTCTTGTTAGGAGAAGAAACTCCAAATGCAGATGAAGTTTTCACTGTTATTAGTTCCTTAAAAAAGGTTTCAATGTTTTACGCTTGTCACAATTTAAACCAGTGGGATCTATGGGATACCTTATTTCAAGATTTTAAGGTATAATACATAAAAATAGCAGTTACATACATAATATAATAAATTTTTTGCAATAACTTTCAGGATATAGAGAGTAAATTAGTTCCAGAAGCTTTAAAATATTGTTTGAGTTCGTGCTATTACTATCTTTTATGGGGTTTGAGAGATCTGGAGTCTTCTCAAGAATCTGGCGGTTTGCAACATTCAGAAGTTCAGGAGTTGAGAGATAAATTAAATGAGTTTATTGAAGCATCTCAAACTCTAATTAGGTCTTCACCTCACACTCTCATTAAGGAGGAGGCTTATATAGGACTGTGTGACTTGTTAATTGTGTTTAGGTATGTATTGTCTTTATTTTCCACAAAACAATACAAGAAAAGTGATATAACACAATGATTTAACTTAAAACATAACAAGAAAACACATTTAGTGGAAAAAGGAACAAAATTCGGAACATTAAAATTAAAGTTTTGCTGTCCCATTTAATTTATGATTGATGTTTCTTATTTTTAGCGATCAACTAAAATCTGGACATGAATATTTGGGGGAATTAGCCTGTGTTCCTGGCAAGGAACTTCAACAATTATTAAACGAATTTGTTCAAACTTTTGTATTTATATTGGAGACAGATAACGATAGTGATGAGCCCCAAATTGAAGAACTTCACAAAAAGAGAAACTTCCTAGCTGCTTATTGTAAACTGATTGTATACAACATAATGCCTACAAAAGCTGGTAAAAATTAATACATTTCATGGATTTCTGGGAGTAATATAACATCTTTTAGGTGCTGATGTGTTTAAAAATTATGTGAAATGTTATAACGAATACGGAGATATAATAAAAACTACGTTAGGGAAAGCAAGGGAAATTAATAAAGTGAACTGTGCCCTAACTATGTGCCTCAGTTTGAATATGATGTTTAATGAGGTTCAGAGAGCCAGCGGGGGCAGAAACACCAGACAGCATGAAGAATTCTTTGCATTAAAGGTACAGTTAATATGAAATGTGCCAAATATTTACTAAATTTAACACTTATTATGCCAAATAATGAAAAAAATTTAGTTTGAATTTTGCAAATCATTTTTATTTTTTTTATTTTAGGAGTTGGCCAAAAGATTTGCCCTGTCGTTTGGATTGGACGCGTTGAAAAATAGGGAGGCCATAACGGCATTGCATAGGGCGGGCATTCTGTTTGCCGTTACGGGAGCTGAAAATTCGGAAGATCCTACAGGACCTCCTCCCAATTTACCATTTTTAGAAATATTAACCGAATTTACCAACAAACTACTGAAACAAGATAAGAAAGTCGTTATGACTTTTCTAGATAGGAGGATACACACAGGTAACTTTTTTCGAACCTCACAAAAGTGTTAAGTGTTATAAGCACGTATAAGCAAGTACAAAAATATATTATTAAACTAACATTAAGTGTCAAATTCAAATATATATTTACTGCAAGGTAATATTTATTATTATTCGCGACGTTGGAAATTGTTTAAAAAATGATTTATGACGTTTGGAAAAAAATAGTATGTTCTATTGGGAGTAAAAATATACTTTATGTGCCTCAAATGTAATGTCAAACGTACAGCCACGCCACAAAAAGTATCATTTTTACTCTTAATAAAGCAATAAATTATTTTCACGTTGTATAAGAAATATTTTATTGTGTTTATAGTTCATTTACCATTGAATATAAAATTTAAACCTTGTTACCTGCAATCTAAAGTGTTATTATATAGCCTTTCTGTTTTGTGGTTTTATAAAAGAAATATATTAGGGTAGTCTATGAAATTGATATTACAGGTTAAAATAGATCATTATTATGGTTAAATAAGAAAAAGGACAGTTGTTATGGTTTAAAAAAAAAATTATTCACTATAATATTTAAGAATTGGTACTGGAAATTCAGGGACAACCTACCTGTTAGGCAATATAATAAGGGGCAATAAATGACCAATTAAATATTTGTGATATTTTTAAAAAGTATCATAATTGTATTTTAAAAAAATAACCGTTATTGCCTAGAAATTTATATCCATAATATACACGTTGTAAATGAATGTTTTTCTTTAAATAAGCGGATATTTCCGTATAACATTTTTCTTTTTGGAAGACCTCCTACTTTTGTCATTTGAAAGACCTCTGTGATGCGTTTTTTTTTCACAATCTAAATCATATGATATACAAATTTTGTTGTTTCTTATATTGTACAGTATGATCGAAAAAAAACGGCGTCCAGCTGGCTAGGAAATGAATATCGATTGCATTTCCCATAGAATTTTACATATAAAATAACCGCGATCTTCATTTCATAGCCATCCCTGACGCTCTTTTTTTTTCGATCTTATTGTATTATTCCTAAAATAAAATATATTTTGCTAGGATACTGTATGACCGAAAAAAATACGGCGTCAGCGATTGTTATGAAATGAAGATCGCTGTCGTTTTATACGTAAATTTATATGGGAAATGTCATTGGTTGTCATTTTCCAGCCAACTGGACGCCGTTTTTTTTTGGATTATACGGTATAAAAATGAACATTATTTTATTTTATTATACCGGGTGCGTCTCAAAAGTGGCTCATCCATATAACTTTTTTATTTTTTCAGATAAAAAAACAGATTTGGTATGTTAGTATATGACATAAATTAGGATTGATTGACATATTCAATTGTTTTTGGTCACTTCCTGTTTCGCCGGAATTGACTACAATTTTTGATTTTTAAATGGTACCCACTTTATTTTTTACTTTATTCAATAGAAAATGAGACTCTGAATAGAATAACATATCATACATATGCCAACTTTTGACATTTTCGCTTAAAAAAAATCGTATTTTAAATTTCAATCTAGAGTGCCATGGCTGTGTTAAAAACACTAATTTTTAATCAAGGAGCCTTGGAAAAATAGATTTGATCGTCTAATATTTTTTAGGTCTTGCCCTGACCAGTTAAAAGATGCCCAAATCGTATTTTTAATCATATCTCAATTTTTTCAAACGGAACGAGGGTGGCTCATTAACGTATTTGGAAAAGGAATTTTTTTACAAATAATTTGGTACCACACGCTTAGTATTTCGAGTCAAATTATCGTTATGCACCGCATGTTACAATTTCAAATCAACCATATGAGAAAATGTCAAAAGTTGATGTCATTCTATTCAAGTTGTAGTCATTTCCGGTAAAAACCGAAGGGGCCAAAAACAATTGAATAAGAATATAATTATATAATAATGAATATAATAATATAATTTATTGAATATAATTTTTTTCGAATAAAAACGGCGTCAGCGATGGCTATGAAATGAAGATCGCTGTCATTTTATATGTAAAATTATATGGGAAATGTCATCGATCGTCATTTCATAGCCATCGTTGACGCCGTTTTTATTCGATCATACGGTACTAATATACCAAATCTTGTTTTTTTTATCTAAAAAAATAAAAAAAAATTATAGTGGGGAGCCACTTTTGAGACGCACCCGGTATAATTACTTCAAATTATTTATCAATGCTTCTGTCATAGGCTTAACTGTTAAAATTCGATCCTTTATTCAACATTATGAATTAGAGTACTATTTTTGATTTTTAATCTTGTTTAAAATTTTAGGAATGCCAAGTAGTAGAGGAGAAGATTGGCAACCTTTGGTTTTATACAGAAATTCATTATTACATGGAGAAACGGATGCATTTCCCACAACCAGTAAAAGGGCTTATGGTAGAAAAAGGAAAGATCCTGAATCGGACCATGAGGATAGTCTGTCCGATCAAGAATTTCCCGGTAATTTATATGGCTAAGCATAATGTGTTGTCAAACTGTAATTCAATGTTTCTTTGTTACTCTGTATATGCTTAATGGTACATTATTATTGTATTTCTAAATGTATACAGTATAAATTTGATTGTATGAATGGCAAGAACGCGTGGCAAAAATTTGATTTTTTTTTCTTTTTTTTTAGCTGAAATGCAATTTATGTAAAATTAAAAATATATTTTTATTTTTACTACATTATGCTTTGGTAGGAACAGACCTTCAAGATAAAGTATGTAACGTTATTAGTGAAAATGGTACAATTGACTGGTGGTATATACATATTTATATTTTAAATCTTATACGATATTTTTATTTTATTCTATGTCTAGTATGATTGTGAAACAACAGATGTTATATATTGATTTTATTGTAATCAATCAACTCTAAATAATTAAATGATGGTTTATAATCAGATTTGTTGTTTTATTGTGTCAGATTTTGTTAGTATTGTACCAAGATGAAAGAAGATTTATTAAAGAATTATTTTAAAAATACTCATTTCTTTCCAACCATTGTAAGTACAGATATATTTTTATTCAAAAAGCACAGTTAGAAGAAATTATAAACCTTACTGTTTAATCTCGTATATTAGTATTAAATATTACTCTGCACAACTAATAAAGTTACTTAAAAAGCAATACCAAATTTAAAGAAATAAAAAAATATATCTACTTATTTTTATCTATAAATTGTGTATCAATTCCAAAATTTTAGACATAATTCGATTTATGAGATCTTTTACTAAATAAAAGAATTTTAAACATAACATACTTATCGAATTATTTATACTTTTTACGTTACTAATTTCATCAAATTTCATGGAATAATTTTTTTTTTAAATTTAACATATTTTAAAATTTGAAAATAAAACCACAGATAGGGCTATACGCATATATCTATTCTGTGGATGTAGGTAGTTAATTTATGTCAGGGATGAGCGAGTATATAACTTTCACTTAAAAATTAAAAATCTAATTTTCTACATGTAAGAAAAAACCAAACTGTCTAAATTTTAGGGGTTTAGACTGGTTTAGTTTATTACTAATATGTATAGAAAAGGGCAGGAATATGCAGGTTACAGAATTAATTTTAAATTGCTGTATTTTTAATTTTTATATATGACTAAAAGTGATTTTTTCCTGATTGGTTTTACGGCCTTAGCTGCCAAGATTATACGGCTGTCAAAAAGTGATATGACTTCTTCTTTTTTATATATCCCACAGAGTCAAACCATATTCAACGTGTCTATTAGTTCTACAAATAAATGATCTATGGTCGAAAATCATATACGTCTCTGTTTGGCATGTCAAATTTATTTTGTCACTTCATAATGATTTCGTGCAATTTTTAAAAACATTTAATTGCAATCTATAATTTCAAGCTTTATTACGGCACAGTTTATCTAAAGATAACTTTTAAGTTGCAAGGTACGTTATTAATATTCAAAATGCACACTATATAAGTGGGTTATTTAATTCTGTTTATTTTGGTCACAGGAGACAATAATGGCTTATACTATGGTTTTTGAGTGGATGGATGAATTTGAATCGCTAACTGAAAGTGAAATTCATACATATGCAGCAGAACAAGAACATAATCACGAAGTTATATTAGCCCTTTATAATATTTTAGCTGAACCACACAAGTACAAGTCTGATAATGTATGTCCAACATGTTATGATATGATCCTTAGTTTTATATATCTTATTTTTTAGTTAATTGATGGAATATGCCAACAACTCTTAAATTTCTATAGATCAGGTGAACCAGAATTAAGGAAGTTTACTGTTCAGTATATACCATCACTTGTGTTTTTACATTTATCTGACAAATCATTTACAGCCGTACAAACTTTATTAGTCAGTCTATATAACCTTGAGGTAAGTAATATTAAAATTACATTACAACGTCCAAGGCTGTATTGTTATTTAGTAATTAATAAAATACACATTTTTGTGTTCTCTGCATTTACATGTTTTTTTGAAAATAGGTTGTTGATTCAAAGGGCCAGCCACTTACATTATCGTTTAGAATTCCAAGTATAGCTCAATCCTCTATATATCATGATTCGCATACACTGGAACCAACTTTTATTGCTGAGAGCTCATTACGTAGATGGGAAGAGTGTAATACAAAGTTGGTTAGTTGGGGTCCTTTACCTCAAGTTGAAAGCTTGAATGCCCAGAACCGGCAAAGGGTTGTAACAGCGCTTATGTTTTTATATAATCAACAATTAGCTAATGTTCTAATCCAAGGCATTGAGTATACTTGCAGGAGTATATCAAGGTGATATTAATATATCTATAAGTAAATAATAAAATTGTTTACTGTTGAAATGTAGGTTGGTTACTCAGGGTTTCAATCTAAATTCTGATAGTACAAGAAGCTCTATCGCAAGTGACAGTAGTTACCAATTACCAATCAGCATTTTGCCACGTGTTCAAGTTTCGGGCCCATTACTTATAGAACTGTTACATATAGTTTACCATGGTGCTGAGAGGTGTGCAAATGGGGCTATTCAAGCTTTACACGATATTATTCAAAGAGCTACATATGAGACATACTCAGGCATGTACAAACAATTTAATGATTTGAAACATTTTATTATTACTTTTATTTTAGATGTACTTTTGGCTGCAAGTGCTGTAAAAAATCTGCTACAGAATTCTCCATCAGTATCAATAACATCCAGACCTTCTCATGTTCACAGTGTATCAAAATCAATGATAACAAATGCTTCATTTAGAACTAAGAAATTACCAGGCATGTTTTATATTTAAATTATTTCTGAGAGAACTTTCATTTATATGTCAAATTATTTTTAGATGATATTCCAATTCAAAATGAGCAACAACAATCAGATGTACCGTTAGATTCTATAACAGAGGAGCAAGAAGAGGGTGACAAATCAAAAAATAAAACAGTGTTGAAACACTTACCAAAGTTGCCAGGTTTAACGAAAAAGCACAAAGAAAAAGTGAAAAACAATTTACAAGGAGATCAAAACGTGGAGATGACGTCAACGGTTGATGCTGTTGATAGTTCTTGCAATGATAATAATTATAATGCTGTTCACGTTAGTGCTGTTTGAGAGGAATCTACTAAATGAGCGCCATACTTTTTTCTGTTTGATAAGTATTTAACAAAGTTATTTTAACCCTAATCATAAAAATATGCATCAAATACATTACATAATAGGTTTGTTCTTGCAGTAGTTATAGCCACTCTGATTAAAACAAAACTTTTTGTTATATTAAAGGGATTATTACTGTAGTGAGAACAAACTTCGTGTGAAATTTACAAAATTCTTTAGGGCATTTTATGAATATTCAAAATTTTACTTTATTAATTGTATGTAAAAGATATTGTGCATGTGTAAAATCCAAGAGTGTAGCGATAACTTCCTTTTTAGATTATGAAAAAGTGGGTATACTAATACAAATATATTTCTATTAGTAGGTAATAAATATAAAAGAAATGAATAGATACTACTATAAATACGTCATAAGGCCTCACTCTCTATAAATGTATAGATTTCTATTCAGGTTATATTTTAAAAAAAGAATCAGTATAAATAGGCAATATGCATTATATTAAATGTAGGATTATCTATGAAAATTTGAGTATAAGAAGATTAATAGATATGATTATTCTATTTAGAAATACCACATACAAATACATAGATTTGTTGATTTTTTTCATAATATTCAGACAATTATGAATCTCAAGTTAGAATTTACTGTAATATTCATTTTACATACAGGATTTGCCGAGGGTAGATTTCAGCAAGGAAAGATAATGAAACACAGGACTGTATTTATACAAAAAAAATGTATAGGGCGGTCAAATTTAAAGAGTTGTTTTTATCAACATATTCTTAAATTTTGTATGCACATTTTTGTGTCAATATACTAGCTTTGGTCACTTTATCTCCGTGGTCTGTATTTTAATGCATATGACAGAGATAAATATATACGACCTCTTGACAGAGAGAGAGACAAAATAAAGAGCGGCATACAGTGTTGCCGGTTCGTACGAGAAATAAAATAATAAACGAAGATAATATATCTAAGCTATTCAATAATGCTCATTTCTGTTAGGCAGTTGTTTAAGAATCTATTACAGCTGTAGTAAAACGAGTAACTAATTTTGAAAAATAAAGTTCCAACCCTAGATGCAACATTTTTCGTAAACACTTACTTGTGCGGTTTGAAACGTTGATGAAAAATCCGGCATACCGCATAGAAGAAATGTATCAACCTAACTTTTATCTCTTTAATACATTTGATTTTTCACTTAAGTTGTCTACATCACTAATCTTACACATTAAAATCCAGACCACGCAGTTTTGCTGACCAGATCAATATACACAAAATTACCTAACTACAGAAGTGACACTATACCTACAGATAACACTTAGGGACACTGTATGTCTAAGGAATTTTGTGATACAGTCTTCCTGATGATCATTTAAACCTTAGAAATTTATTATGACATTTTATATTTAATCACCTTCAAGGCAAGAAGTAATATATGAATAGAAAAATATTTTATAGTACCTGATTCATAATTTTACTAACAAACTCTAAAAATATTTTTTGCATTTTATGATCTTTTATATTTGTCTGAATAATGCACATATATTTTAGAATGAAAATAGCCATATACCTTTGAGAAATTAAATATATTTTTGTATCTTCAGAACATACAGAGTGCTATGAATGTCATTTTGATGTATCCTCGATATACAGGGTGTCCCACTTAAGATGGATACAAGCCAATATCTTTTTAATTTTTGGCAGGAGGCTGTATGGCTATAAGGCGTACATTTTGCCCAGGGTAAGAAATGCGATACCTCATAGACGTACGTTTTAATGGGGTTTGATATTTTTCGAGCCAAGAGTAAACTACCCTATAGCCATACAGCCTCCTGCCAAAAATGAAAAAGATCGCTCAACAAACAACCAAGATAATGGCTTGTATCTATCTTAAGTGGGACACCCTGTATATCGGCAACAGTAGCGAACTCACTTGTTAAACATTTCAGTTACAACTGTATATAGTTTCTCTATAGTCGAAAATGATTATTTAATTGTGATATGTAAAGATTTTAGTATATAGTTAGTTGATTTTTTATTAATACCAGTACAAGGTACGGTGGTATGTTGAAAATGGTTATGCGTTATACGTTAAGGTCGGATGCGGTTGTTTTTTTTATTGATATTATTTTTATTTGTACATCATTGCATTTACAAATGTGTTTATATTTTTTGTGTATTATTTTTCTAACTGTGGCTTTGAGATTTTTAATTATTTTCGTAGTGACAGTGACTACCAAAGATTCTTTTTGCATTTTGACCACTTTTTAAACTATATAGAGATACAGAAATTTGGTTAGGTTGTAAAATATGATGTAAATATGAGATTATGAGAAAATATCTATAATTTATTTTTGGAACTCACTGTTACAGGGAAATAATACTTTGTATTATTATTTTTTAAATTCCGGATGTTATACTTAAAAAAATATGTTTGGCGTTTCTTGCGCATATATCTTGAAATCTAATCCGCTGTTTTTAACTAATTCTAAAAGTGAAAGATGTTTTCCATTGTAATTCCGAATAATAAATATATTTATTAATTATTAGTCTAGGTGTAATTCATGAGTTATTGTTGAACTAACAGAGTCGACGTGGATGGCCAGTTTACAGGCGGGACTTGTTGTATCTTTGAATAAAACATCCTTTGAATGAATTGAGTCTTACATCTACTTCTCCCTCTTCCAACTGGAAAAAGAAAATATTCAATATATTAATTCATTTTCTTCAGACAAAAAGGTATTACTCTTCAAATCAGTTAAAAAATATGCAGGTGGCGTCCTCTACAAATAGGAGTCATATTGACATCAAAATCAAATTTCTCATGTCAAAAAACTCCCAGGCACCAATTTCATCTAAATATTGACGTTACTTCTTAAGAATTTTTTTGGAAAAAATCGAAATAAAAATGAAACTTCTACACCCTGTATCTCCGAAACTAAACATTTAAGGACATACATTTATATGAACTTTTTTACTTATTTTTATCTGCAAAATATGCTGCCGAAGTGTCCGGAATACAGTTCGGATCACCCTGTATATTACATTTAGTGTAAAAAATATTTTTAAAATGTGCGCTGCTCTATTGCCCGCATTTTTACAAAATAATTGAGGTAAAAATCCCAAACAGAAATAGGTATGTGATATGGAGCTATTAATTTTCGGAATACTGGGTCGTACTAGTCGTACTGTATATATTTTAATGATGACGCTAGTACTGATTTAAATTACTAATAGAAATTTTAAAATGTTTTTTTGTGAATTCCTATGTTTAAGCTTAATGAACTTACTAAGTCTTGCTGATATAAATCTCTGTAACAAGAAGGCGAGACGCATTGTCTGATACATGTCACTTTTGGCAAACCACTTTTTCCTAGACAGCCCTTTTCACATGCAGCTTCTACTTCCCTGAAGGTGGCTTCCTATGGAACACAATAAAGATTCGATTTTTAATATAGAAAAAAATAACTTCAATAAACGCACATTTTTATTCGTCTCTTTATATGGAAATTCTGGAAATGTATACGTAATTTTATCACTTAAACCTGATTTGATTGTTAATATATAACTAAACAGAAAAATTAGATAATGAGGCATAATAAATACAGTATTTTTTTCTTCCGGAACATCCAATTTTCACCAGAAAACCGAACATGATCAATATTCGAAATGGAAATCTGTATGCGCGCGACGTTCATTTTGCACCTATCTTTGTTCGAAGCACTAGACACGTTCCTAGCTCGTTTTGCTTTTCTTTTCAACGACCTTTCGTTTCTTTCTACTATAAACAAATTCCTTTTGTAGTATTATTTGTCATCTGTTGTATCTCCCAACCACTTGCGGATTCTCTGTGAAAAATCGCCGATTTTCAGTGGAAATCTTTACCCAAACACATATTTTACACTGTAAGTAGTTCCTTTAGTTAATTCTATGTAATAAATTTGCATTTTCTCTCTTAAACCATGCGAATGCAGTGATAATTCGGCAGAACTTTAAACGATAAATACCTTTTAACTTATTTCGTAATAAGATAAGCATTCTGAATGCTCTGGGTAAGTTTTTGATGTAAATAATTTAAACGAGTTTCTTTGAAACCGGTCTAGAATACGTTGAATGCAACAGGCGGTGTTAAAAATGAGATTAAATCCAATCGGTACTTGGCGTATAAAAACATGTATTTGTTATTAGTACGTCGCATGTAGATTATCCCCTTTTATGTTATTTATATAATTTTCTACGAGTTTTAAACCAAATATTCCATATTAACATTTAATCCTTATACCTATACACCTACGCATTTCGAACAACAATTCAACGAATTCAAATTTTATGGGACTATGTAAAATATCAAGTCTGAGCTTATAATTAGACATCACAGTCGGCATCAAATACGACTTTTTAAGATATTCTATGAGCGGCATTGTTGATGGTGTTTGTGTTGGGTTAGCACGCAAGTGTTAATTGTGGATCGTAGTGAGCGGTGGATTTGTATTTTACCCAAAAATAGTAGCGTAAGTATAAATAAACAAATTATTTAGTTTTCCATTAAATTGGAGTTAATAAAATAAAAAAATTATGGCTAGACGGGTGAAAAGTTTCAAAGAACTAATGAACGTACAGCTGAACAAAGAATGGGAAACGCTCAACTCGAACATTTGGGTATGATAAAGATTCTTTTCAATTTTTTTTTAAAATTTTTCATCCAAGTAAAATGACGAAGGAACATGGTAATTTAGATGAGATAGTATCAAACTTATCGTTGATTTTATCTGGTATTCATACGTTGAATGCACCAAGAAACAACTATCTCTGTAATTAATCATAATAACTTAATGCAGCTACAGTTGTTAGAAACTGCATGCTGTGGGGTCATTGACCTGGTTCTGATTAGAGGAAAATATACATTTCTGAATTCTGAAATTACCTTATTAGATACCTACCTATTAATGGCAACAAATACTATAAATTATAGTTATATGTATTACTTATACTAGCTAGATATTCTGTGCTTATACGCATGTAAAATATACATTATTTATAAGTCTGGTTTATATAGGTAAGTAAATATCTTTTTAAGGTAATTTTTACAGTTTTAAAATAAAGTAGAAGATTTTTTAAACAATTTTTTGCTATTAGACTTTTTTACAACAAAAAAAGTTTTTACTTTTACTGCTTTTACATCTACCTATCGATTTCGTAACTCGAAATAAAAATGTTTTGGAAGTTCTTCCTAGCTACTATAGGCTACTACCTAGTTCAGAGAAACTGTTTTTTTTTGTTATAGCAATTTTTATTTTGCCTTAAAATTTATCAGAGCTTAGCAAGAAAATTTCATATCAACATAGGGTTAAAAATGATTTGTTTTAAAAATACAGCGTGTTGAAATAAAAAAAAGATGTTGGTTTGAGCCTCATCAACACAATGGTCCATATTCAAGAAAATTAGGATTTTTTAATAATTTTATCTGTGTATGAGCAGAAAACAGAACTGAACACCGAGGATATCTCAATTATTATTACAGTTGAGGGTTGGAACCTTTGGTGTTACACAGCAAAATAAAAACACTAAATCACCACAATACACCAAAACACTTTTACTTTTACACTGTAACGATATGTGTAATACAAACAATTAACACATTAGACGATCAAATCTATTTTTCCAAGGCTCCTTGATTAAGAATTAATGTTTTTAACATAGCCATGGCACTCTAGATTGAAATTTAAAATACATTTTTTTATTAAGCGAGAATGTCAAAAGTTGACATATGATACGGCATTCTATTCAGAATATCATTTTCTATCGAATAAAGTAAAAATATACCGGGGATGCCATTTAAAAATCAAAAGTTGTAGTCATTTCCGGTGAAACAGGAAGTGACCAAAAACAATTGAATGTGTCAATCAATCCCAATTTATGTCATATACTAACATATGAAATCTCGTTTTTTATCTGAAGAAATAAAAAAGGTATAGGGGGGAGTCACTTTTGAGACGCACCCGGTATAGTGTTATAATTTTTAATAAAATTTAATAATAAAATAAATAATTTATTAATTTTATTTTTATTGTAACCTAATTGTGATTATCAAGGAGGTCGAAAATTACAAAATATTAAGATACAACTTTTAATCGGCATTAAACGGCTTACACAATTTTGCTAAGAGAAAAAAGTCAGTGGCGCAAAAGTCAGTGGCGCAAAAAAAAAACACATTTCAGTAATAACCCATACCTAACCTAACCCTCAAATTTTCATTTGAATCGCTAAAAACATTTGGAGTAAAATTATAATAAATCGAAAAAATGAAGATTTTAACACCCTGTAACTACGAAACAAAGCCGAATCGGACCTATGTTGATATAAAAAAATAAATCATATTTTTACGTGGGGAATCTCCCCACGAGAGACGGCACTTTTTTTGAAACACCCTGTACATTTATTTCGACGAAGAAAAACCAGGTCCAGTTGACCTACGTCCTTCTCCAATGTGCGTCTCGTAGCCTAGACGATACTCGGATGGGATGCGCGCGATCTGCCGTTTCATTGATTGACCCCACTACACAGTCGCCGCTTGAACACAAGCGTGCCCCATGTTGTTAGTTGCCAGGGTAGTTCGCCGTATAGTTTGAGAAGCAGCTCAACCCCGTACGGGCGTTGGTTATCCGCATGTTTTGGGGCCCTCAACACACACAAATTAAGTGAAAAGAAGCAAGACCAGCAGCGAGAAGAAGGCCAGTGCCAATTTTTCAAACAGTTTTATTTTGCCTTTGTGCGGAGTGTTTTTTTTTCGAGACTGTCGTTACAGAAAAGCAGCCAAACTGTGGGGCGCCGGAGCTTTTTTTCTTCCTCCCCAGGGAATGTACTACCCGGTAAGTTTTGTGTGTGAGAAAGAACGAAAACGTGAATAAACTCGGACGTTGTTTTGGCAATGTCTGTTTTTAACCTTCGATTGGGTTTGAGGTTGAGGTTAAAATTCATCGAAAAAGCTACCGAGACAGACACACGACGGCAAAAGCGATGTATTTTTAATTTTGTCCCGTCCGAGATGGAGATAGGTTTTTGGATCGGTCCAGATGTGAGTCAGACAGAGGTAGAGCGGTTTTTCGACGACCTTTCTCAATAGTTTTGCCCTGCGACAGTGGCGTGTCCGTTTTTTTCTGTTCCCTCGTTGCCGGTTTAAATCTACCAGACGTTTTGTTTACATTTTTGTCCAAACAACATTCTTGGTTGGATAAATGTAAAGTTTTGCTTCTTTTGTTTGGTGAAAACAACGTGTTATTCCCACACGTGTTCCAAAGCCATTTTTTTTTGTTTCTTTACTTTGTTGCGTTAGAGGATACGATATGATCTAAGTTATGAATAATCAATCCTGACATAATTACGGTATATTGTTATGGTGTTTCAGTGTGGTTTTGGCAGGAAGTAAGAAACAAAAGAATTTTCTTAAATTATTTGTTGTTAGGTTTCTGATTTTCCTACAGTAAACAATTGATTTTGTGTCTATTATTTTATTTAGTCATGTTTTGGGTTTTAGTTTTTTTTTGTATGATAAAATTTAAAGTAATTTGTTGTGTTTTAATATTTTTTTATTAACTATAAATATCTGTAAAGATACAACAAATAAAATATATATCTGAAGTTTATTATTTAGGAATTAAAATTCATAATGAATTAAACAAGGGACACGTCTATAAACAGTAAAAAAACGACAAAACCATTTTAAAAATACTAGATTGTAATGGATTTAAATTCATCTATAAATTTTAGAATGTTTTAATGCTACATTATGGTTAAAGTGATTAGATTTGGAGTAAACCAATGGCGGATACAAGAATAGTACTGACTAGCTTCAAAAAAAAATAATTGGGCTAAACTTTTTTTAACTTCTCAAAATAAAATTATTATTATTATTATTATTATTTATATATTTAAGAAAATACAAAAACAAAACTAAAACCTTAAAAAATATGATGGAAACTACAAAAATTTTCATTCTGTCGAAAACGCTTGTATAATTTTCGGAGGAATGAATCTTTTTTATGAATAGAATATCTCTTTTGACAAAATATTCTCAGAACCCCTCCATTCTGCATTTTGTAATTAGGTACCATGCATTTTAAAGTAGGTAGAGGTAATTGTATCTTTTCTGTACCTCTCTAAAACTTATTGACCGTTGTAAATACCCTTTCTTTATGAGCGGCATTAGTCATCGCAAAAACAAACAAAAAAATTGGCGCCGGGAGGCACGTATAGCCGCCCATACTAAAATATGTTTAATATTAGTAATATATCTACACTAATTAATTTTGATGTTATTACAAATTTTGTTGCAAATATTATTCCTAATCTTAATTTGAAAACCGCGTTTCGCTAGCTACTGTAATTTTGGGGTTACAATTTTTTAAAATTTTTAACCCCCTTACCAACACCCCACCCCCACCAAAAACTAATGGCCAGATTCTCGGGTGCCACAGTATTTTTGTGCCAAATTTAGTTAAAATCGGTTCAGCGGTTTTTGCGTTATCGTGTTACAGACGGACAGACAGACAGACACCATGAAAATATTTTGTATTTATGTCATTTATGACCCAAATAACTCTTTTTGAGTGAAATTAAAAAAAAAATTCTTTGCCGATCTTAATAGCCTACCATACCTATTGGTATGGTCGGCTAAAAAGTAGGAAATATCTTCCAAAGAAAAATGCTGAAAAACCTTCACCCATTTTATATCTATTTTAGTATAATTTTTGTTTCCACTCGTTAATTTTTTCTAAGGGAACATAATTTTTAATTTATTTTATTCAATTTACGGGTATGTTTAATGGCGGATGAATTTTGGGGACGGACATCGGGTCTGAATAATGGACTGTACGTTATAATGACGAAAACTCATTAACCATCAATTCGAAGTTGGTCAAAGAATGCCTAGAGAATCTGAACAAATTGGAAAAGGAAAATAAAGTCCTCCTACTGTGGGTGCGAGCTCACCAAGGGATAGAAGGTAATGAAAAAGCAAACAATCTACGTAGAAGAGCGAACACTGCGCTAACTGGGCCAGAACCGTTCTGCTTCCCAAGGGAAAACCAACAAGTGAAAACTGGACTCCATCCGTAACCTGGAATGGGAATCCTCCAACAGTCTAAGACACTAAAAGAAATTTCCCAGGACTTAACGTTACGACCGAGAAAAATCGAAGATTTTTCTTGATTTGAGTAAGAAAATTCTTGGGATTGTCACCGAGTTTTTAACAGGACACCTTCTCCTCAATGAACACCTCATTAGATTGAAGCTAAGCAACGACGGCCAATGTAGATTCTGTGGGGAAAATGGGGAATCACCAGAACACCTCTTTATTTATTTCCAATGTTTACAATAAAAACACATAAAATAGCCCAAACAGGCATGGAAACATTGTCAAATAAGAATATTTCACACCAAAATAATATAATTACAGTTAAGATAATACTACAATTAAACTAAGATCTTAACTAAGTAAAATAAGCAAATACATAGAAGAAATAAAAAACGATAGAATTAATATATACAAACAACAAATATTACACATTAGATATCAGACTTATAAACACAGCTTTATCGGATCTGTAAAATTCTTCTAATGAATAAAAGGCTTTCTTTGCTAGAAAGATTTTTAATGTGGCTTTTAACTTGTTTCTTGCCAAACCTCGAACACATTCGGGAAGGAAATTGTACATTTTTATTAATGAGAAATCAACATTTTTTTGTAGGTAGCTAAAATTATATTTATCTCCGACTAAATAGGACTTATTTCGCGTAGGGTAATTGTGAGTTAGTTTCAAATTTTTGAAAAATTGCCAGTTATCATAAACAAACATTATACACTCTACAACATATATACTTGTTATTGTTAGTATTTTTTGTTCAATAAAATAATTTTTACAGCTCTCCGTGGGTTTCATTCTAAATATTGAACGTATGCATTTCTTTTGCAAAAGCAAAATTCTCCCGATATCGCTCGAGTTTCCCCAAAATATTATGCCATACTCCTTTTTTTAGCACTATTTTATTTGGGATAACTCTTTTGCCATAATCATCATATTCTACGATTTGCTGAGTTCTATTGCTTAGATATGATTCGAATAATTTTAATGCAGTTCCCCTAATTCCAAATCGCTCCAATTTCATTAATAAAAATTTGTGTTCGACACTATCGAATGCCTTAGAAAGGTCTAAACACATTATTAAAGTTTGTTTTCCATTATTTAAGGACTCTATTACAAAAGATAATGCTTGGTATAAAGCTCGTATTGTTGATCTTCCTTTCATGAAACCGTTTTGTTTATCCGATATAATTTCGTATTTCTCAACAAAATCTATCAAACGCTTATGTAAGACCTGCTCAAAAATTTTACTGATGTTTGGTAATAAAGATATCGGCCTATAATTTCTCTCATCATCTTTTGCACCTTTCTTAAATATTGCCCGAATATATGCATTTTTTAGGCTATTTGGAAATGTCCCTGTCATAAAACATAGATTTATAATATACGCTAATGGCTCTGAGATACTATTTGCTACTTCTTTTAGGACAAAAATAGGAACTTCGTCATCTCCCACTGCTCTCTTATTTTTTAAATTTTTTATAGTAGAAAACATTTCCCGTGTGTCAGTGGGTAATAGGAAAAATGAAGAGACTGGTTCTGAGTCATCATCTTCCTCATCACCTAGAAGACATTACTTTGGTAAGAGTGATATCGGAGATGGAGAACTAACCTCTGTAAAACCGTGTCGGATACTGGCTTTTGTCAAAGCCCTGAGACTGTATGCTGAGTGATAACTCAAGAAAGGGGGATACAATAGATCTATAAGGTCGTGGTGATTAACTTCCTTCCTCCCATACAATTTACATAATGAAGTACGTCTGATCACTTGTAATGAATATTGAACTTAAACATAACGTCTAATTTTCATATAAAATAGTTTGCACCAAAGAAAGTGTGCTTTTTTTACCAAAAAATTCTTATACGTTTCAGCCCGGTCCTGCTTTTCGGCCATTTTGCTTTCGTTCGATATTCTCAACTAAATTTAAATCGTAAACTCGTTTAAGTTTGATGCGAAAAACGAATAAGGTCTTTCAACTTGGTGCAGGAAAGTCGTAAAGTTCTAAGTTTATCGTAAACTCTGATGGGGTTTTCGGAGGAAAATTGCAAATATCAACGAGTTTTACGCAAAATAACTTAAACAAAAAAGAAAATAGGGTCTTGTGCAGAACAGGTCCCCACGAAATCGTGGTTTTTTTAATTTTTAATGTGGATCCCATAGTTAATGGAATGGTTTAAAAGAAAAAAAATTGTTGGATGAACCACTTTTTCTACGAAAAAAAATAATTGAGAATTCCAAATTTTCACTACATTTCAATGCGAAAACTCCCTATTATAACCTTCATAAAGACAGTAAAATACAAGGTTATGCACAGTGTTGCCATACTCATCCTGTGTAAAATCGACGAAAACGTTCTACTTTATATTCATTTTTTTTACATTTAGTACGCACTTTAAGAACACGAAAAATTAAAAATATAATAAACGAGGCAAAACAAAAACACTATAAAAATAAATGGACAATAAAATCATTACACAGTATTTAGCACAATTGTTTAAAAATATATTTTTCCCGGATTTGTTCAGTAAGATTCCGAAATGGATGTGATCTGCGTACTTCCAAACACTCCCCACCAACCTAACCTAACCAATGCATTAACACCCCCAAATAACCAGGCTAACCATGCATTAACACCCTCCAAATAACCAGACTAACCAATGCATTACCACCCTCCAAATAACCAGAATATCTAACCTAACCTAACCAATGCATTAACACCCCCAAATAA